GTGGCAGTCTTTATATGAGCAAAACTGGAGGCTGATTCTGAGTGCTGTACTAGTTAAAAGAGTCTGCTTAAGGCAAATTGCATTGTACTGCCTAGTGAGCAGAGGGAACATTACTCTCAAAATACAAAGCCCTTCTTTTAAACTAGCTAAGTGAACTGGTTTTCCATAAATCACTTACAACAAAGCCAAAGCATTTAGGAATGCTTTTGTTGCAAAGATACTGTAGTTGAAACTACACACTGTATTGTTGCTGAAGCTCCAAGGATAATCTAGCATCTTCCACCCTCTTGAAGTTCTAGTTTGCAAAATAGAATTCACTCTTCCTTCTTTTTCCTGACCCACATGCAACTATGTCTCCCAACTAAATGGAAGAACAATTCTTCCTCTGGCCAGACTTCAGTTAATCCTGATCCTATTCTCTTCCATTCTCATTTCTCCCTAACCATGGCTGCTGCTAGTCCAGTCTTTCTAACAACGCTTGGGTCGTGCTGCTTTCCTGTGCCTTAGCCACAGCAGAAGAGTGTGCATTATGCACTGTGATCTGCCTAGATGAGGGCTTAAAGCTGGCAGCAACACCCAATTCAAAGGGAAACTTAAAGCCTGTGTACTGGACTGTCTGCAACCACGGATGCCTGGAAACCAGCCTTTCCAAACAAGCTTCCCATCCAGGAGCCAGCTGGCCCCCCTTCCTCCTGCTCTGGCCAATCGCAAGAAGCTCCATCCCTCCCTCCCACCTCCCCAAGAGCAGCAGGCAGCTCTTTTAGTTTCCCATCACCCTGCGGAAAAAGCCTAGAGTAAAGGATGCCCAACCACATCCTTGGGCTCCTTCACCATTGGGCTTGCTCTTTCCAAGGGAGTCTTTGCTTGTTTTTAAATAGCCTCATGTTACGTTCTGAGCCTTGACTGTGTTCCCGTTTTATAAACAGCACAACAGAGTGGAGGAAACGATACCATTTTGCATCCGGCCCCAATTCACTGCAGAAGTGTTTTTGTTTTGCTTTTTTTTTATCCCCATCAATCCCAAAGGCTTTTCTGGAGAGTAGCAATACATTCAACTGCATTAAACAGCCTGTGAATTAAGAAAAACACACACATAATAGATATTAAATTCCCCTAACGCCCCCAGCTTGAAATATAGCTCATTTTAAAAGGCATGTTAAATTTCAGAACATGCATTTTGCTTCTCTGGGCGGTGAGAAGTTCAAAGGGTTCAGAGATTTACCTGGGTTTGGCTTCGTTTAAAGGCTTATTACAGTTATTAATATATGGATTTATTTACAAATACAGTTTGAGCAAAGGTGGAGGCGCACAGTTTAAATGCTCCAGCATACAAAGCCCAATCCTACAGCAATCTACTCAGGCCTGAGGTTTAGGCAAGACAGCTCCCCTCTCACTAGGAACTAACCAGGAAATGTACAAGTGACTCACACACTTTCTTTCTATGATTCGGGGCACCATGCACATGCTTTCTGCCTCTTGTAACACTAGACTTGTGATCACCTAATGAAATTGATTAGCAGTAGCTTTCAGGGAGCTGCTGTGGCTGCACCTCCCCACAGGGAAAGATCCTTGGGCTGCCCCTTCACATGATACCTGAAAGCACAGAAAGAATATATGCAACTACTCACTGTTTCCTAGTAATGTTTGAAATGGTTCTAAGAGCCACTGCAGAAGTTACCACATCTCACTAACCCCTGCAAATAATTACTCGTGCAAGTGGTCTAGTCACATGAGCAGAAAAGCAAATGCACACAACAGCAAGACTCTTCTTCCACAAATAGGAAAAAAACATTTTCAATGAGAAAAAGAGGAAGCTGCCTTGTATGGAGTCAGATTATTGGTCCATCTTTCTCAGTATTGTCTTCTTCACTGGTCTTCAGCTGGTGGGTAAGGAGGGCTTTACCCAAAGTGAGTCAAACCAGCAACACAACCACCATACAAGTTAAAAAGTGTGCTCCAAATGCATCTTTGCATTCAACACGGGGCCCATGTCTGAAAAAATTTGGAAACTATTGGTACACTGTCAGGCAGCAGTTCTCCAGGGTCTCAAGCTGCTCCAGGGTCTCTGGGTGGCTTACAACATATATAAAAACACAACAAAACATTAAACATTAAAAAACAAAATATCCTATACAAGCAACAAACAACCAATAAATCAATAGAAATCATCATCATCATTATCATCATCAACAACAAACATTCTACAGTTATACCCAAATTAAAATAACCGCCAACTCCAACGACACATTTAACCAACACCACCTTAAAGGAACTTAAAGTAGAACAATTTAAAACATTTTAAAACATTTTAGCCAGTTGCCGCAAACCAAGAGTTGTTCCAGCAACGTCCCAGTGGCCTCCCAAGAGCCTCTTTTAGCTGTTCAGGGTGAGTCAGGGCCCTGCCTCTAGGCCGGGTGAAAATGGGCCTTGCAGCAGGGAGTGGTCTTCCTTCCAGCACTCATGGCAGCAGCAATGTAAATTACTATTAATAAAATGACTAACAATAACAACATAAAGTTATAATTATTTAGAAGACATCTGAAGGCAGTCCTGTATTGGGAAGTTTTTAATGTTAGATGTTTCACTACGTTTTATATATGCTGTAAGCTGCCCAGAGTGGCTGGGGAAACCCAGCCAGATGGTTGGAGTCTAATTATTATTATTATTATTATTATTATTATTATTATTATTAACAACATTCAAAGCCAATTCCTTATTTCCAAAAATTCTGTGTGCTCTCAAAGAGTTACAAATCTCAGCAACCTTAACAAACCTCAGTACCCAGAATTCTTTGAAGCGAAGATATGCTTCAAGTGTTTTTTTGAGGTATAGAATGTACACAGCTTCAATAAGGAAACTTTCTCTTCTACACATGTAAATGCCTGGGGTTTAATCTGGGACTCTACCACTGCTCTACCACTGAGTTATAGACCTTCCTCAAATGGTAAAAACCTGTGTGCATCATCTGAAGAAGGTTCTTCTTCTTTCCATACAGTGTTCCTCCACCTCAATCCATTTCCAGTCATACAAGCTGCCTTGCCGTTCCTACTAAGCCACCCACACAAACTCTAATCCATAATGCACACCCAGTGATCTTTCAACACTCTTTGAGTCCCTGAAAACTATACGCAGGAATTAGATTTCAGTCGGGTGTAAAGAAAGCAATGCAATCTTCCTTGCAGGGAGATTTTCTACCTACTGCGGGCTTGTCCTCTCTGCCTCAGGCTCTAAAGGTGAACCAAAAAACCCTAGACCACACTTTTGAATGCATCTTAAGATATATCATATTGGTGTATGCATCTACACCAAGGAAACCATAGAAAATGCTAGTGTTGACTTACTGAGAGAATCCAAGATGGATCTCTCAGATGATAATGATTTGGTATTCCTGTATACTTAATGACTTTGGATAAATTTTGAGAAGGGAGAAGAAGAACTGGTATTCTCTTCTACCTTCAATTTTTTTTGGTTCTAAACCAGAAACTCAAGTATTATTCTTGAAGAGCACATCCACCCAACCTGTGAGCCACTGAGCCAACTGCAGCTCCCTTCCTCATGCATGGCAGCCTACAAGAGCTTGAAAATCCTCTCATTTTTGATGACTGCTTTAGGTGCAAAGGCTGGGGGCGGGGTGTCAAATGTGTGTGATCAGTCATTCTAAGTCTTTCAACCTGTTTAAAATAGATTATTTTGAAAGATGCTTCAAGTTGTTTGAGATATTGGGATAACATATCCCTTTTTTAATATAGAAGGAATGGGTTGTATTGCAAAACATCTATAATCCACATATAATGACAGACTGTTAGGAAATGTATTTGGTTCATTTTCATTGCATCTGTTAACGAAAGGTAGTGTTTCCTACCTTTCCTTTACCACACCAGCAATCCTATACAAGTAGGCTAGACTGGGGGCCAAATTAGATTTTGTACCAATGAAGACCCTCCCTTGAACTGCAAATAGCAGTTGACCACAGCAAAGACGCTTTCAGAAAACAGGTCCAAAGTTGCTTAGGCTTCCCTGTGGCTATTTACGAAACCCAAAATGTACATATTAATTAACACCACACCTACTTTGGCCCTAAGAGTTATTGTATGCAACATCTTCTCATGTCTTCTCTGTTGTGCCAGCACGAAATGCCACTCACTGAATTTTGCAGGCCCATTTGTTGTGTGAGAAATGAATGCCCAGGAATCTGGCAGCATGTAGCCAAAGTAGAGACATAGCAATGGTCCAAAAGGCTGAAGCCCCTTCTCTCACTGTCATTCTCTGCCATGTACTGTGAGGGGTATATGTTCAATTAAAAACTATATGTGTCATTTATTATACCTAGGGTTTTTTTTATCTACCTACCTACCTGAATCTAGTTTTTTATCAGTAGTGAAAAAAATAACAAACCTTGTAGGGTATGAGTGTGGTTAAGGTGTTGGACCCCATAGCGTGACAACCCATTAAGCTCCTTGTGTAGGTTTAGGATTTTAAAAACATTTTCATGCCACGTTTGATATTCACTTTTGAGGATCTGTAGGATTTTGTGTGACATGTGTATCATTGCACATGTGTATACCATGTGTGCGCTTCAAGGCAACCCTTGCAAGCAAAGGTTTGAAAGTTGTCTTGTTGTGTGTGCATGATTCACAATTTGTAATGCTTTTGTGTGCATAGGGTATTCTTCAGTGTATGCATTCAAACTCTCAGCAGTGTTTGAAACACTACTTTCCCAGAGTGACAACCAGTGGGAGATGTTTGTTCCAATGAAACTCAAGCACATCATCAGCTTGATGGTCAAAGCTTGCCAATGGTTGATATAAAAATGTAACACGACGCAGAATATTTTATTGATCTAAAATTACTTAGAAGCCTTTATTGAGTCCAGATAATGACTGAATAGCTCTGAAGAATACAGAACTACAAAACTCTTATCTGAAATGCTATGAAAAACAGCTACATCCAAGACAATCTTTATCTCAGTGAACTTTTCAGCTCTTTTTTGTATCACAGTTCTGGCTCAGTGGCTCGGTCAGCCTGAGGTCTCACTGTTCTTGAAACTCCACTGACCATCCCGGAGCTTTTGAGTTTCTGGGAACTGAGACTCCTAGTGGGTCAACGCTGCTGTCTGTTCATTCCAGGAGAGAGAGAACAGGCACACATTTCTCTTTGGGCTACTCTACCACCCTGAGCGAGCAGAGTAAACCACCACCCCAGTCCCTCCCCTGCAACCTCTGTCAGCTTCGACAAACTTGTTCTCAAAGAAGAAAATGTCTAAAAAACAAAAGCAAAACCCAGGACAAAAGACGTCCTCTTGGAGACACACACCCATAGAAACAGACACTCCCACATGGAGGAACAGCGCTGGCAAGGCTTGCTCACACACGCAGCCACACACGTACAGCCTCTCTCGCGCAGGGAACAGTCGATGCTCCCCCACACAGAGAGGAAGGCACACTCTCCCTCTCTCAGACACACAGGCACGCTCCTCGTCCTCTCATGCAGAGCCTCTCGCAAACTCACACATACACCTTTGAACTCCCCGGCAAACTGGCGGCTGGAGCTGGCATCCTGCATGCCAGGGCCCTGATGTCACAGGCCAGCGAGGAAAGTCTGCAGGAGTTGCCGTAGGGACAGCTGGGTGAGGAGGGCAGCTGCTCTTCGAAGAGGACTATAACTTGCTGCTGCGGCTGCCTTTCTCTGCTTCTCGTTCCCCTCTCTCCACCAGATGCTGTGGCTGCTGCTGCTGCTGCCCATGGAATGGGCCTCTTCGCAGGCGCATCTGCAAGCTGTGGCTGAGGTGAGTCCACATTTCTCTCTCTCTCTCTCTCTCTCTCTCTCTCTCTCTCTCTTCCAGTGCCTTTCCTTGCTGGAGGTGGAGGCTGGCTCCTCCGAGTTACAGCCAGCCTGCATTTCTCTGCTCCGCTGGGGGATGAGAGCATTCCTGCCTGCCGGCCACACAGCTGCACTGAATTAGCACCATTGCCCATTAGAGAAGCTTGGCTCCCTCCAGGAGCTTCCCCCGGCCTCTCCTCTAATTGAGACCACAGAGCCTTGTGCCAAGGCAGTGCGCGTTAACAGGACAGGAGGACACTTATTGTGGTGCATGGGGATTCTCAGCGCTCAGGAATGGGGCATGGGAAGGGGCATGGCCTAGTAGCAGGGCACATGGAGAAGGTCTTGGGTTCAGTCCCCAGCATCTCCAGGTAGGAGATGGACCCCTACCTGAAACCCCAGAAAGCTGCTGCCAATCTGAGTAGATAATACTGGGCTGTTTGGACCAAGGGTCTGACTTGGGAAAAGGTAGCTTCCGGTGTGAGGAGGCAAAGCCACACAGTGGGCCTGTAAACAGAGATGGGAGCTTGTCATGAGTAATTGCCCTGGTGCTCAGTGTGTGTGGCACATTCTGCCGCCGCTCACACCTTCACCTGCCCGACTCAGAAGCACACCAGGTTCCCAGTCTGGATGCTGAGTCTGTTGGAAATGCTGGAATGAGGTGCATTATTATACTTCATACTCTATACTTTTAGTCCTACTCGGGTGTTTCCTGCCAGCCTCTCTGGACTGCTTCCCACACACCCCCACACCCCGGCTGGGGCACATGAACCCTCATCAGACGCAGCTCTGTGACCTGTTTCCATTAAGGGCCTGGTTCCTCCTTTCCCCCTCACAATGCATTGATAGTTGTAGAAATTTGCCTTTACACAAATCTACCATGCGGCCAGACCAGGAATACTGTGTACAGTTCTGGTTGCTGCACCTCAAAAAGGATATTGTAGAGCTGAAAAAGGTGCAGAAAGGGGCAAGCAAAATGATCAGGGACCAGATCAGTTCATATATATATATATATATATATATATATATATATATATATAAAATAAGTTTTCAACATATCATTTTCAACAATAATTAACCGTACTTTAACATCTTATACAATTTTTTGACTTCCATCAATCACATCTGAAAATTTTCCAATCTATTTACTTAATTTACATTTCTTATTGTCAGGGGTTCAGGGACAGAGGCACAGGGTAGGGAGGAGATGGAGAGCGATGGGGATGAATCCCAGGACAGCGAGGAAGAGGATGACAATGACTCAAGAGATTCCATGAGTCTTTCCAGCGAATCAGAGGATTCCCAGAAGGGGCGCCAGTGGTCAAGGCCAGGGAGCCCCAGGGGGACGTGTCAGGAACAGGGGACCAGCGGGGATCCCAAAGTGGCAGCTGGGCGTCAGGACCAGCCTCCCCGCCAGAGTGCAGCGAAGGGGGTGGAGGTTCCAGTGTATCAGGGAAGCAGCTCCAGCAGCAGAGAAGGGAGGGAGGTCGGAGCAAGCCACCCTCCCGGAAGGGAGGGAGTAGTGACGGGAGTAGTGTAACTGTCACAAGGCAAGGTCGCGGTTGGGCGCGCGCGCCAAGTTCAAATGTAGAGGCGCGCGGACGTCCAGGGAGCCCGGAGGCCGAGCCCGGTCCTAAAGCCCGCCGGCGGGGGGGAAGAGCAGTCGGGGGATAGCGCGTCAGGGGAATCCAGGAGGGCGAAACCCCAGCGGGCAGGAAGACCCTGAGGAAAAGGAAAGAGAGAAAGAGGTGGAGCAGCGCAAGGCTCTTAAACTGGTGCAGGGGAGGGACTGACTCAGAGGGGACTTCAACGGTCTAAGCGTACAGACGTGAGGCTGCGCGCCTCGGATGTGAAGCAAACAATGAACTGCAATAAACACTTTTGTATGTAAGAAGAGATTGGCGTTGGTCTTTTGTGAGCTGAGACCTGAGGCAGCCTTGACACTTATTTTCACTATTACATTTAAATCTCACAACTAATATCTCTCTTCTTTCTCTTCTTTGCAATATTTCATATATTTCTCCTTACAAAACTTCTTGTAGACCTGCTAGCATAATTTGTTGATTACAATTGCTCTTCAAATAGTTCGTATATTTCTTCCAATCTTCTGTAAATCTCTGGTCCCACAGGTTTCGCATCCTTCCTGTCATTTTATCCAATTCTGCGTAGTCCATTAATTTTGTCTGCCTTTCTTCTTTCGTCAGGACCAGATCAGTTCTCATACAAGGAAAGGTCACAACTCCTAGGGCCTTTATTTGTTCAGGGAGAAGGGAGCGAACGAGGAGGGATGTAAGAGATGCAAATTATACCTGGTTTGGACAGAGAGAAGATTAGCACTCTCTCATAATACCAAAACCCAGGGTTGTCCAATGAAGCTGAATATTGGGACGTTTAGGACAGGCGAAAGGAAGCACTGCAAGATGTAGTAATGGTCACCAAGTTGGGTGACTTTAAAAGGGGATTCTACAAATTCACAGAGGCTATCAACAGCTGCTAGCCACAATGGCCTTATGTACTACTGCCTGAATCAGAGACAGTATTGCTGTAGTTGTTGGAGGGGCCCATTGAGCTCATGTCCTTCCCATAGGCATCTAGAAGGCCACTGTGAGAACAGGATGCTGGACTAGATAGGCTTTTAGTCTGATTTGTACATTGACTCCATGTGCGGGTTCAGGATTTTGGCCTCCCAAAATTCTCTACTCTGTTTGTGTACAGAAAAAAAACTTGTGTTTCAGAGCATTTCTCCAGAGAGAGGAGAAATTATCCTCATTATTATGTCACCATTAGGTGTGGCAGTAGCACAACTTCTCCATCCCCAAGTCCCCCCCCTCCCTTTGTTGCCAAAGGGGCCTAGCATCATTCGGGATCATGCAGGTGATGGAGGGGAATGATGGCACCACAAAAAAGGTGGATAATATTACAGTGGTACCTCAGGTTACATACGCTTCAGGTTACATACGCTTCAGGTTACAGACTCCGCTAACCCAGAAATAGTGCTCCAGGTTAAGAACTTTGCTTCAGGATAAGAACAGAAATCGGGCTCCGGCAGTGCGGCAGCAGCAGGAGGCCACATTAGGTAAAGTGGTGCTTCAGGTTAAGAACAGTTTCAGGTTAAGTACGGACCTCCGGAACGAATTAAGTACTTAACCTGAGGTATCACTGTAGTAGAAAATTCTGCAAAATGGCTTTCTGTTTTTGGGAGGAGGGGGAAGAATGAGGTAAGAGGAAGAAAGAAAAATCACATTTTTTATCTTCTAAGAAATTTCGGCTCTGCTCTAGAGAAGGTTGTTCAGCCAGGCAGGTGATTTCCCTGGTGATTCTGATCACTTTCTTCATGTCATGAGAACCATCCTGGAGGCAGGGTGAGGCCGAGGACAGGGATTGGTGTTGCATTGCCCCGCCACTTGCGAGAATTCCCCAGATGCATTGCATGAGACGCTATTCCAACCATAAGATTTACATACTTGCAAGCCTTTGAAAATCCTCTTTTTCATTTGGGTAGCTCTCTGGAAGTCCAGAGATGTTGGACTCCCATAATCCTTGACCCTTGTCTATACCGGCTGGTGATAATGGGAGCTGGAGTCCAACCAACGTTTATAGGGGGCCTTGTTGGTAACTCCTGCACTAGAACTTGGTTTTAACCATGATATTCAGCAGCATATTCAGAACAAACAAAACAGTAGGCATCATCACACACAATTCATATGTGGAAATCATTCCGACAAGCTGTTCCGACTAGCATAAATACCTTTAAAACTGAATTTCAAAAGTCAGGATTGTTCAATGACAACAAGTAATCTTGAACAGAACTTCTACATTTCATGAATAGAACTTCACTGTTCAGGATTAATGGATGTGGGGGGATACAACAGGAGAAAGCTATTCCAGCATGCCTTGCTTGTGAGCAATCCAGGGTCATCCAGCTGGGAGAGTTGCCAGCTTCGGTCCTTTCCAGTCCATGTAGCTCTGCCTTTAACAGCAACTTGATGCACAGACATTGGGAGGAATTCAGCTCCACATTGCTACAAACATTCCATCAGAATGCTTTTCTGCTTGCCCAATGAAATTATCTCCCCATACATGCTGTTCTGGGGGTACTGCTGACCCCCTTTGCCACTTGGGTTGGGAGGAAGACCCATTGTTCTAGTGAAAGTCCTTGTATGGGCTTCTGCTAGCAGGACCAGTTAGTTGAATCTGGCCCCGGATAATGTTTATTTCCATCCTGCAGAAAAACATCATACCCACTGATTTCTACACATCAGCCTGCTGTGGAAAGCAGACCTGCTCCTTTCAGCTGGCAACCTTGCTGGTTGCCATTATTGGAGATAGAATGCTGGATAAGGGGAATCTTTGGTTAGACCCTGATAAGCAAATCTTAGGGGTTTTTGTTCTTGTCTAAATCTCACTGTAAAATTAGGAGCCAAATTAGAACAGCAGAGCTTAAACTGAACCTGATGCCACGGGGAGGAACTCCCATAGACCATTTCTTCCTGGCTTTTCCAACTTCACGTTCCTCCAACCTAACTATTGCCATAGGGCTGCAACTAGAGTGGAGGCGAAATCTAGACATTTTATGCAGTTGGGTGTAAATTTCCCCATCATTAAAAATAAAATTAAAAGCCTTAGGAGGTTACAAATTTAAGTGGAGGGAAAGTGTGGTGTCCGTGTGCTTGACCCTCCCCCCCATTTCTTTCATTTATAATCTCATCCCCCCCAACTGTTCTTCCACAGGTATCTTACTTTTGGTAAAAATGGGAAAAGACATACCACCTTCCTATCACTGTTCCTCTATTTATGTTTACATATGCAGACTTACTATGTTGTTTTACGAACGCACGCACGCACGCCAGCACACGAGCGTGCACACACACACACACGTATAAAAAACACCTGTGAGGGAACACTGACTGCATGTAATGCCTAGGAAAAGGGATCCCTGACCATTAGGTCCAGTCGTGACCGACTCTGAGGTTGCGGTGCTCATCTCGCTTTATTGCCCGAGGGAGCCAGCGTACAGCTTCCGGGTCATGTGGCCAGCATGACTAAGCCGTTTCTGGCAAACCAGAGCAGCGCACGGAAACGCTGTTTCCCTTCCCACCGGAGCGGTACCTATTTACCTACTTGCACTCTGACGTGCTTTCGAACTGCTAGGTTGGCAGGAGCAGGGACTGAGCAACGGGAGCTCACCCCGTTGCGGGGATTCGAACCGCCGACCTTCTGATCGGCAAGTCCTAGGCTCTGTGGTTCAACCCACAGCGCCACCTGCGTCCCATGTAATGCCTAGTTTGCCCCTAATTGTTTACTCCACCCTTTACTGGCCACATACCAAAATGGGGAGAACCAGGGAGTCCACTACAGCTGCAGCATAATGACCTAACCCTTGTTACGAAGGAAGCAACCTGGATAATGCCACAAAGAGAAACAATGCAAGAGGCAGGGCTTAGCTATACACAGCAACAAGTCTGGCTTCCAGAGAGACGTACCAAGCTGGGAAGGGAGGCTGGCAGCAAGACCTTACAGTTCCTGTAAGCCAGTCTAGGAAGGATCTGTAGTTGGACAGCACTTGGCAGCTGTCAACACTGAGCCCTTGACTGTGAAAAGAAGATGTAGCCTTCCACCACTCAGGCGTTCCATGCGGTACCCATCCATTTGGATGCAAACTCTCTTCCCCTTTGAGGTTGTGGTAGCAATGTCTAGAGAGGATGCACTTCTGTTTTAAAATAGTTTCATGCACCCATCCCTGGTCATTAACTATTCTGGATGGGGCTGATAGGAGCTGGAGTCCAATACATCTGGAGGGCACCAGGATAGGGATGACTGGACTTAGTGATTCTAACCAGAGAGGTGTCCCCTCCACATACTGCAAGTGTGAGGGACCAGGCATAAATGTGGGTATCTCAGGGGTGGGGAAACCTGTGGCCCTATCATCTGTGACCATTGGCCATGCTCACTGGGGGCGATGGGAGTTGGAGTTCAGCAACATCTGGAGGGTCACAGATTCCACACCACTGGAGTGTCATAACACTAGAGGTGTTGTCTCTCTTTGTTTTTATGGCAGAATAGAGATGCAGTCTTTTTCTGAGCCTTGCTTCTATCCAGACACCACTAAGGATTTTATTAATTTCAATCTCATAGGATGACAGATGCAACCAGACAGATTGGCAAAGGCATCCAGGAGTGGAAGGACTGCCTGACGAGAAAGGTGAGTTTTCTGCTCCTCTCCCCTGGGAGTTCCCAGACAGGGAAATCTGGAATATCACAGGAATATCCACTGTTTTTGGAGCCAGGTATATTTCCCTAGAGATCGCGCCAAGGGACAAAGTGAGGGAGTGATGGGGACCTAAGGGAGTGAGAATGTAATGGGAAGGTGTCCCTCAGTGTGCTCACCTTCTTTTCCCTGAAGAAGAAGGAGAGATACTTTTTCTCCCCAGTGCAGCTCAGCCTTCAACTTCCAACTGGCTTTTATGGAGCCAAGCTTCATGGCAAAGGACACAGCTTGAAAAACCCTCCTTAATCTAAAGAGTCACTGAAAACTATTTGTGGCATTTGTGTGTGTCGGGGTGGTGGTGGCATTCTTACAGTCCACCACTTTTAAAAAGAATTGGCTCATTGTGCACGTTGGGAGACCGCAAACCCTTTATTTTGGGCAACCCAGTCAGATGGGTGGGGTACTACTACTAATATTTGTGTGAGTGTGTTTAATTAAAATAGTAGACAATGAAGGAAGGAGGGTGGAGATTGTGTTGCTAGTCTCTAATTTTCCTTCCTTCCTTCCTTCTGACGAGTTCAGAGCAATATTCAATATCCAATTTTATCCTCACCCAGGATTATACATAAGGCTTAAAGGACAGTGACTATGCCAACATCACCTTCTAAGCTTCATGACTGAGTCTAGGTTTCCTCAGTCCTATTCTTACACTCCACAACACAACACAAGCTCTGTATCATATGTCCTATAAGTGTTTGTGACATTTGCACTACCAATTTCCATGCAGCAATGCACACACCTAGGGAAATATTCTTTTCTTTTTCTTTTCCCGGCACCATGTTTCTACAGACTGTTCTGGGTAAAAAGAAACCTGGAGCCAGTGCCGAATTGTACTAGGACTCTCTTATTCAGGCGATTCTCCAAACTATTGTTCACCTTTTCTGTGTATGAATTTCAGTGTGTTTTCAAGTAGCTAGAGATACACAGTAGTAGACAAAAGCTTCTGAACCATTTTGGCGAAACAAAGAACTGTTAAATGTCAGATCTATTTAGGCAAGCAAGATGCACATTCAAACTCATGAAAAGTGACAGCAGCATTCTACAAGTGTTCTGCCTTAGCATAAAAATAGATGTTGAATTCTGTAAGCTATCTAATACTTGGAGGGATGGAGAATATTGTGAAGGAAAGGCCCAAAATGTATTGGCAAAAGTTATTATTGCTTTCCTCCCGGAAACCAAGTCAAGCCAAATTCTCTTAACTCAGGGACTGCACAGATCTAGCATTTCCATCATCATCATCATCATCATCATCATCATACCTTGCCCATCTGACTGGGTTGCCCCAGCCACTCTGGGCGGCTTCCAACGTAAATAAAAGCATAATCTGAAGGAGCGTCTCTACCCCCATCGTTCTACCCGGACACTGAGGTCCAGCACCGAGGGCCTTCTGGCGGTTCCCTCACTGCGAGAAGCCAAGTTACAGGGAACCAGGCAGAGGGCCTTCTCGGTAGTGGCGCCTTCCCTGTGGAACACCCTCCCACCAGATGTCAAAGAGAACAACAACTACCAGGCTTTTAGAAGACATCTGAAGGCAGCCCTGTTTCGGGAAGCTTTTAATGTTTGATGTATTATAGTATTTTAATATTCTTTTGGAAGCCGCCCAGAGTGGCCGGGGAAGCCCAGCCAGATGGGCGGGGTATAAATAATAAATTATTATTATTATTATTATTATTATTATTATTATTATTATTATTATAATAAAACATTACGCATTAAAAAGCTTCCCTATACAGGGCTGCCTCCAGATGTCTTCTAAAGGTTATATAGTTATAAAACCTTGAAGTTTTTATCAATATTAATTAACCTGGATACATGCTTGCTCAACCATTAATTGCAGCATGCAGAATTTCCACATAGGTGAGTTCAACACAAGCCACCAAGAATATATTAACAATTACAACATGCAAAAGTAGCACAGGTTGCACACAGACTTTGCCGGCAAGCAGGTAAACAGGGCATTAGACACACTTCTAATACATCAGCAAAGCATTAAATAAGGCCTTTGTCTCCAGAGAGAATTACACTGCAATCCTAGGAACACATTAAGACTTCATTATGTAGATACTTCTCCACAGTGGGTTAGAATTAGAAAGGAACAGGGCAAGGTCTGCCTTAAACTGCTAATTCACCTAATGAAACCACCCAAGGTGTCTGCATATCTTGCATCCAAAACTCATAATTATCTCCACCAGGGGGGAAAAGCATACCAAAGTATTGTGGAACCTGAAAGGCCAACAGATTCATTGTGACATAAGCTGTCATCGACTAGAGTTCACATCTTCTGATGCATGAAGAGTTATGCACAGTTAGTGTATATACATGGGCATAGAGGGGAAAGATAGTAAACAATGAAGCCAAATAGCATGAAATGCAGGAGCGGCAGGCTCTGTTTACACATGTACATGTGCATACACATTGGAGACAAAGATTTCAGAACTTGTATGATTGGATGAAACCCACCACGTCCCACCATTGCACACAAAAACATGCCCCATTGCCTGAACAGGGCTACAACCTATGATTATTCTGCGCAAAGCTTATATGTCAATAAAATAAACATAGTGGCCAATCACAACAGCAATGTGCAATAACACAACATTCCTAGCTTCACTATGCTAATTTTTTAATTACCTACCTGGAGTAGGAGAGGAAACTATTACCTATGTTGATGCCATTTCACGCTGGAATGAAGTGCCTTCACAGAAAAGGTTAGGTTAGGAACAAAGTGTTTTCTAAAGACTGCCAATGGTTTCTGAATATTGTCATTTTTGTGTTGCTTTATTCTTTTCTGTAGAGACTGACTTGCTTGTCCTAGGTCAGGCATCCCCAAACTCGGCCCTCCAGTTGTTTTGGGACTACAACTCGCATCATCCCTAGCTAAAAGGACCAGTGGTCAGGGATGATGGAAATTGTAGTTCCAAAACAGCTGGAGGGCTGAGTTTGGGGATGCCTGTCCTAGGTAGACACCAGAAGGGCATTGCTGACAGGACATTACAAAAATTACATGTAATGCATTGGAAGATGAGCTGGTGAATGAACACCTGATGATATGGTTATCTTTATGGATGATGTCTGTAATATTGTTGCTTGTATGAAAAGGGAGGTAGAGTTGGCATCTGGGCTTGTTGCAGAATCTGGTCCTTAGGTTTCTGTCTCCATTTGATGGTTAATTGTTGCTAGTGACTAGCCAGTTTCAATTGAGGGACTTTCTGCAAGGGTGGACAGGGCTACCACCCAAGGCCTTGTCCAGGATAGGCTGTAGATTATTCATGATGCATTGGGGCACCTTTACCTGGGAGCCATAGGTGACAACAAGTTATTTTCTCTTCTGGATCTGAGTCGTAGAAGGATATGCCTGGGAGTCAGACTGGCTTTTTCAGTCTCTTATTTGCATTTCAGGGTGAGGGTGTCATCAGTTTCAGGAATGCCTGATGTAAATATTGAGTTCCTTTCTAAGGAGCTGGAACAAACGTGGTTGAATTGTGGGGCTTGACTACAGACAATGAATCATGTAGTGCTGGGGTTGCCAACACTGCCCCTCCCCCCTTTGACCACTTCAAAATTGCTGATGGTCTTAGCAGACCAAATTATGATTTTCCTGTCTGTTGTTTAGCAATTGTAGATGCTAAAGAATTAAAACATGACTATTCTAATGCAGTGGATTTGCCTGTCATACTACTGTTCCTTTTTATAAACCAACCACTCCCACTCAGGTTCAGCATGAGAGTGAGGAGACTTTGCTGATATCTAAAGTTCCTCCGACTTTTTGGCCCAGATCAGGGGTAGCCAATGTGGTGCTTTCCAGTTCCTTTGGACTGCAACTCTCACCAGCCCCAGCCAATGGTCAGGGATGAAGGGAACTCCCCTGAGTCTGTGTGGCTCATTTGACATCAACATGAAACTGATCCTTTAATGTCACTGGCTCAGTCATGTGGAATGTTCTTCCAATAGAGATTCAACAGGTGTTTGCTGAAAAATTTAAGTGCCGCCATACTTATAGAGTCAACAAAGAAACATAGTTAGCTCGCAATCTGTTTTAAATTCTTATATACTTTTTAGGGTCTCTGTGTGTGTTTGTGACAGCTTTGATTATATATTTGTGTGTGTGTGTGATACAATTATTTTAAAAAATAAAGACAAATAATAAATAATATGGCGCCCACAACATCTGGATAGCATCACGTTGCCTACTCACCTAGGTGATGAAGGTGTTATTGATCTATGTCAGATAGAGAACAGGCCTTTGGGTTTGAGGGCTGAAGAAAGCAGACCCTGAAGGACAATACAGTTTTGAGCACCTTATGGTCTATCTTCCCCAGGACACCTCCTGAATGTGAGCATCAGCAGCCAAGGCCGCTCTGACTACCTCCTCTTGACCTGGGGAAGGCCCTCTGGAGGTGTCCGGGGCTTTTCACTAGCCCTTTATGACTTCAAGACAGACTCTTTGCTGCAGAATGGATCAGCTGGGATCGATGCCACCAGTTTCGACTTCCAGGGCTTGCTTCCTGGGACACGATACAGCATTGAAGTCACCGTGCTGCTGGTCTGTGCACGAAACTACAGCAGGAGAGTCACCGGGCAGACAGGTAAGTGGGAGACAAATGCTGCGTGAGGCTATTCTGAGCATAGAGTTGGTTTATATTTAGAAACATGAACATTGCCTTTTCTCACTTTCATTCACACACTCAAGACTCAGCATGCCACATTGTGTAATGGCGGCCTCCCCTTGACATGCCTGGCTGTGTGCTTTCTTCAAAAGTTGAAAGTGCTCACTTCTATAATAATAATTATAATTTTATTGTTTATACCCCACCCATCTGGCTGGGTTTCCCCAGCCACTCTGGGCGGCTTCCAGCAAAATATAAAAAATAATAACATTTCAGACATTAAAACCACCCTGAATAGGGCTGCCTTCAGATGTTTTCTAGCTTACTGAACAAGTAAAAAAACAACTCAGAGGGTCAGGATGGAAGCAAGAACCACCCTGGCTTGTGAGCTGCTATGCCATGGAGGAAAGTCCCACTCGGCTAGCACTATGCCTTGCACTAGTGCAGATAGTTCATTGAGCCTTGCCCTCAAAAATCAATTTCATTGTCAAAGCTATCAGCTACCCATAAAGAAAGGAAAGGTTAACGGAGCAACCTAGGACTTTTGCTTTCATTTAATACCCTCTGCCACTCGTATCCTCCTTAGAGTCTGAAAATACGTGGCAGAAGATGCTTCTGGGAGGCTGTCCCAATCACAGTTTTCACACTGATGTTCATGCAAATACAGTGGTACCTCGGGTTACATACGCTTCAGGTTACATACGCTTCAGGTTACAGACTCTGCTAACCCAGAAATAGTACCTCGGGTTAAGAACTTTGCTTCAGGATGAGAACAGAAATCGTGCTCCAGTGACGCGGCGGCAGCAGGAGGCCCCATTAGCTAAAGTGGTGCTTCAGGTTAAGAACAGTTTCAGGTTAAGAACGGACCTCCCGAACAAATTAAGTACTTAACCTGAGGTACCACTGTACCATCAAATGTTAGAAAAGTGCAGGATCACTTTACAGTATACTTGTTTTTTTCTATGACATCTACAGTGGTGTGAACTTGATTTTGGATGGAAGAAGAGCTTCTGCTAGCTCTTCCAGGCTGAATTGCTTTAGCTGTCTCAGGCTAAATATAACATGATGTACCAGTACTTGCGGTTCTACATCCAGTATTTAGCACAAATGCAGCAACATCTGGCTATTTTTTCTGCTTGCACATCCAAGTTGGGCCAATAAAATGTGTGTCTGGCCCATCGTTTATGCAACACTATACCCTCTTGTTCACAACTTCCAGATGCTTTGCTGGGGAGGGGGAATACTTTGTTCCATTATCCCTTCTCAGCATTTGCCATTTCATTCCAGAAACATCTGAATCGTATAGCTAAAAGCAACATATTGTTTTGTGCATGCAACATTGCTTTTATTAACGCTGCAATTCTAAGTATTTCCTGCTTGGAAGCAAAGTCTCATTAGTTAGAATGAAACTTGCTACCAAGTTAGTTTTCTTAAGATGGATCACAGCTAATCCTCCAAACCACTCTGCATCTTATTCTTTTGTACAGCTGCAGGAGGGTTTTTTTATCTTCCTCCCTGGCTTGCAATTTACATGTACAATGATATTGAAATCAACTAAGGCAAACTGATTTGCAGCCTTTCCCTGTGACTTGCACAGAAACTGAGAGCAATTGTCAGGCTCTGCAGGCAGCTGGCAGCAAAGTTAGCTCAGAGTTATTCCATGGCCGCCTGTTCCTAATGTAATGGTACCACAACCGTCTCACAATATCCTTGTGGACTTTGGAACAGTGGGAGCCACTAATTGCAGAAACAGCCCAAGGTTTTCTGTTGGAGCAACTGATACGGGTCGTTCTATTACAGACAAACTGTGCCCAGACAATTCTGTTACAGAGAAGTGTTTTCCAGGCTTATGAAAAATTCCTTTGATCGCAGAAGTTTGTGTATCAGTCACCAGCTGAAATTTGCTGAATGCAGTGTTTTCACAAAAACTGTTTTTACCACAGCCACACACTTGAGGTGGTGTACGTTACCATTTAAGTGCTTTTTATTGTCATTCAAGCTGTAGCAGAACCTCATTGCAGTTTGTGCTTGTGAAAGTGCCTCTGAAGTATAGCAACAACCAGGGTCGGAGCTAGGGTAGGATTGCACCTGATCCAAGTCCCCACCAAAATCATAATTCATAGAACCGTATAGTTGGAAGGGATTCCAAGGATCCTCTAGTCCACAACCCCCTGCAATGCAGGAACTGCAGCTAAGTATGGCCTTCCAACCTCTGTTTCAAAACCTCCAATGAAGGTAAAACATGCTATATGCATTATTTAGTAAATGAAATTTACTTTTAAAAAAATAATGTGTTAGGTGAGATTACTGGTTGTAGTAATGATTTAAATCCTGCAAATATTTAGGGTGTGTACCTACTGTGTGATAATGTGCATTCGGTGCTGGATGCAGGAACCTTTTTCGGGTGCTGTACACATGACCTCATCCCCATGTCATCCCTGCCCCTGCACTAATGGTTGATCTGCTGGAGTGCTTATAACCCATTTTGTGCTGAGAATGCACTTCTCAAGTGCACGCTGCCAGTGTGTGTACACAGAGCAGGCTTTCTCAGGTCACCTCCTATTGGGGCAGACCTTCTGGCCTTGCAGGACTGTGCCACTCCCCCTCCCCGTATTTAACTTGTCTATGAATGAAATAGTCAAAACAGGAAGCAATACCATACTTTAGTTGTCTCTGTATGGTGATCAGCACACCAGTATACTGTATCAGCACACCAGTTTCCAAAGACTGCAGAAAACAACTTTAAAAAAAAAAAAAGTCAGTGGACACAGTAATTCAGGAGAGTAGATAACACTTGCACACTAATTTTAAAACATGCCCACCTGTGTTTACAGACATCCTGGCTAGCAGCTGCTACTTTAGATTGTGCCATTGCATAAAGGTGTGTACAATGGCAAAGTCCTATGTAAAAAAGCATGCTATGATAAAATGGCAACTGTGCATTTCAGAGGTAGAGTGTGTACACAGCCTTAATCTGAAAGGCAAAGCTTTGAAGCACCAGGCGCTGTCAGTTCTCCCAGTTCCAGAGCCATCAGACCTCCTAAAATAATCCATGAATATTCACCAACTGTGTCTATCCAAGTCTTGGTGTTTATTGTTTTATTATAACTGGTGTTGATGTTTTACGTTATAAAATAGGGGGGTTGACTTAAAGATGTGTTTCATGTTCTTTGCCCTAGGCATCAAGATACTTAATTCTGGCCCTGGCAACAGCCCAGCACTTCTTTACCTATAGATACCCTGTTTCCTGTTTCCTGTGTCTGCATACAGGCTGAGTTTACATAAGGCTGAGCTGAGGACTGTGAACCTTTAAGCATACAATCATAGGTGCACTTTCCCGATCACAGCGGGTTTTATTTCTGAGTAAACATTAGTCGACTTTCACTGTGAAGTGTTCATCTTTCAGTTCAGCGGTGGGGAACCCGTAGCCCTCCAAGTTTTGCTATAGCACAACTAAGAACTTAATTTGTTCTGGAGGTCTGTTCTTAACCTGAAACTGTTCTTAACCTGAGGTACCACTTGAGCAAATGGGGCCTCCCACTGTTGGTGCACCACCGCCACACAATTTCTGTTCTCATCCTGAAGTAAAGTTCTTAACCCGAGGTACTATTTCTGGGTTAGCAGAGTCTGTAACCTGAAGCATCTGTAACCCAAGGCACCACTGTACTTCAGATGGGCTAGAACAGAACTCACATAAACTACTTTAGAAATCTGGTCAGGATTTGAGAGAGATAGGAGCAGGTTTGGGGATCTGGTAAATATTCTGAAATGCTTACTCACTGGCAACTGTTTTGGAACCTTCATCTTGTTTTAGCTCCCTTAGCTGTGCGGGACGTGATCCTCAGCTATGATGGCCCTTCTGTGTTAGTAGCCTCTTGGAGTGAAGCCCCTGGTGGGAAAGATGGCTACCAGCTGGTTCTGTACCACATAGACTCACAGGCACCTGTCAGGAATGTGACTCTCCCTAAAGGGGCCACCACCTTCCGCTTTGAGAGGCTTCGAGCTGGCAGTGAATATGCCCTGCGAATCACCACCCTGGCTGGATATTCCAAAGCAAGCACCAGTGCACGTCAATGGACCGGTATGGAAAGTTGCTACTCTGACCTGAGGGCGTTGTTGGAGGATAAAATCAACTCTGTAGAGACAGAAGCATCTCCAGAAATTAATCAGATACCTGGGTGGGGCTATGTTATCTCATTGTTCCCGCATGCTCAAGCAGTAGTGAGGGGAAAAGAAAGTATGCAGGGGCTAATTAGCCATGCCTGAGATTAGTTTATGACACCCGTGGAGCTTATGAGGCATTTTATCTATTTATTATTAAGTGATTTATGACTTGCCTTTCAGCCCAGTACAGTCCCCAAGGCGACTTACAATTTAGATAGGCAATTTAGACAACTTAGTTGTCTATGGAGTAAGACTCACCTTCAAGCAGCCAGGCAGGACAAGATGACAACCAGTCACTGGGAATCACAAATGGAGACACTGCTGTTGGTGCTCAGGTTCTGGTTGCAGGCTTCACATGGCCACAGTGAGAACAGGATGCTGGGCCAGATGGGTCTTTAGCCAGCTCTGGAGGGGCTCTTATATCCCTGTGTTCTTAAAACTGATCATTTTCTCTTCCATTAGGCCAAAGGCAGAGAAGTTGTGGTTCTTGCTGGACTACAACTCACATCATCACTGACTGTTGGCCATGGTGACTGGGGCTGATGTGAGTCCAGCAACAGTCCAGCAACATCTGCAGGGCCACCTCTGCTTTAGGCTACCAGCGTGCCATCAAAAATTGGCACACATATGTGTGAGCAAGGCAAGCAAGTAAAAAATGTCAGTGGCATAGCTGCTTTCACTGACTGATTTGTTTGCAAGGGTGCTGGAGTGTCCTCTTCTGAGGACTGGGGACTTCCATGGAGTGGGGGCATCTTTGAAAAGGGACCCCTCTTCTTGGAGCAGGTGGTTTCCTGTAGTGAGTGATGACTGCCTTCAGCTTTCCTTTGTCCCAACAGCTCCTGTTGCCCCCAAGGCATTGGCATTCCATAGCAACTCCAGCTCCAGTCTGACAGCCTCATGGGCCAAAACAGAGGGAGCAGAATGGCTCCATCTCACTCTGCAGAACCTCCATATCGCAGCTGAGAGCACCACAGTGTCGCTCAGGAGAGGCCTGTCCAGTTACGTCTTCCAGCACCTGCAGCCGGGCACCCCCTATCGCCTGGGGATCAGCGCCGCAGCTGGGCTTTACCTGATAGAGGGGCCCAATGTCACAGCTTATACATGTGAGTATGCAGTAGAATACTGTTCAAGGCACTTGGAAGTCAGGTAGGCAGGCCTAAACTAGAATGAGAGGCTACTTTGAGCCTATGAAACAGAATAAGGTAGGGTTACAATAACAGGTAGTCCTTATCCTGAGAGACCTAAAAGCTTGCTCTGCGTCTGTTTAATAGGGATAACTAACACACATGAACATGTGTATGTTCTGGCTGTGAAATAAAGACAGTCTTTTTGTTCTTTGTTTATTATTTGGTGCTTGTGTTTCCCTACTGTAATAGAGGCTCCATAATTTACTTTCTGAATACATGAACCAGAGACATTGTGTTTTATGTTACCAAAGCATAAACTTTATGTTGCCAATAAAGTTGAGAATTTCCAAAAGTCAACCAGACTTTTTCCAGTCGGTGGGCGGGGGAGGGGGGGTTTCTTAGTGCAGGAGTATCCTCCAGGTCCCAGTGACCATTTCTAAAAGGCCATCCCTATATTCCAGTTGACTAGCTTTCATGTTTGGCGAATCCAAGCTACCTGCAAATCGAGCCTTTGGTTTTCTCCTCACTTGTATTATGCAAAGCAACTAAATTCATTTCCTTCCTTTGAAGTATGGGTTTCCCTTACATCAACTGTAGTTGCCGTCAGGGAGACTTCACATTGTGTGTGTTTGTAAGTGTTAATATTGAAAATATTCCCCTATTTCCCATAGAACTCAAGAGCAGAGCAGGTACACCCCAAACATTCCCCTTTATTTACATCACATTCAGATATGCATCTGAAATAGAAGTCAAACTTCCAGTTTTGTGCTCCACTTATCAGTGCTAGCTTGACCCTTCAATTATCCTAAGAGTTGAGATGGAGAACTCTGAATCATGTGAGCAGCTGAGGGTTTGGAAAGCTATCACAGTCTATTTACTAATTATTCCTAAAGCACCTAAAATGATACGTTGGCTCTGAATTAAGGAAGTCATAAGCTCTATCCACAGGTTTACAGACCACATCACACTTTTCCAACCTGGTGCCCTCCAAACTGCAACTCACATCAGCCCCGGCCAGCATGATCAATGGTCAGGGATGATCATGGCTGTAGTCCAATACATCAGGAGAGTACCAGGTTCGGGAAGGCTGACAACACCCTGTTTCTTGGCAATTCATTATTGGTGAACACTGATCCTTCCTTTCATTTTTTTTTCCAGACCCCCTGAAGCCAACCAATGTGAGCTTGGTCAACAGTGGCAAAAATAACACTTTGAAAGCAACATGGAACTCACCAGCTGGAGGAAGAGAATTCTATCTGGTGGTTCTGCAGGAAGGGGAGAGCAGGACACCTGTCAGAAATGTATCGGTGGCAAGGAACAGCACACAGGTCACCTTCCAAAGTCTGAGCCCTGGGAAAAGCTACATTGCCTTAGTGACCGCTGTTGCTGGACCCCATAAAGCATCTACAAAGAGCATCTCTGCCTGGACATGTAAGCAGGGGTTGAAGGTCAGATCCTGCCAGGAGGCAGTGGCTCCTATAGAAATGCTCTGCTACTTGTTTTGGGTAGGAGGGTATTTCAGTTACCTGACTGAAGGGAATTCTGGTAAGGTGAGGACACACAGGGAAGAGTTCAAGATAGCTTTAAGGAGATCACTCTGTCAGTGCAAGCATTTCTACTTGCTGGATGGAATTATCTCCCCACTCCTTTCTTCTCCCACACCATTCTGGGGCTTCTCCCAACCTCCAACCCCTCAGGCAATTGGAGATGAGGGCACAGAGGGAGGAGAGGGTGGGGAAGAACCCATTGCGCTAGTGGGGACCCATTAGTTGACTCCCTCTGTGTTGAGGGTTGTATTTTCCCTCTGTATTCTGAGTTGACTTGAAGAGGAGACCATTCTGATAATTATGTCCATCTTCTACTCTGGAAGCTGGAATGGGAGAAACATCACAATGAGTCTTCTGGGAAAGGGTTGGTTTTTTTGGTCACCCTTTCGTTCTACACTCCCAAATAGGTGCTCCCCAATTCGTATCAACCCAGACCTTTCATAGAAGGCCCTGTGCATAATTTTGTGTCTGTCTTTCCCCCTTCCAGATCCCACAGCTCCGCCAGGTGGGAGCTTGTCGAGTCAAGGCAGTGCCCACATGCTCCGTGCTCACTGGCAAGAGACGCCTGGGACTGGCTACGTGGCAGCATTGTACACCACGGAACCCCACATGCTGGTGCAAAACAAATCCGTGCCTAAGAGTCATAACAGTCTGCGCTACGAAGGGTTAATACCAGGCACTCGCTATTCCTGGGAGATTTGTACCATTGCTGGGCCCTACATCTCCCCACCCCTTGTCCTTAGCAACTGGACGCGTAAGTGCCATGGGAAGTCCAATAGGCTGTCATGCACATGGCTACCAGGTCCAGGCCTTGAGAGTTTCCTTGGGTAATTGAAGGGGAAAAGGAGCTGCCACTGAAGTGGGAAAGGGGTCTGGTTGGGTGCAAGAGAGACAGGTGGGCCCTGTCAAAGTTCAGTCACCCCCAAGGCCCTGGAGCTTAGTGAGGAGGTGATTTTAGAGCAGAAAGGCTCGCGATCTCTTTCAGAACTGGTGGCACTGGACTGGCATTTCACACTTTTGCCTTTATCGTCACCACCATTTCATTTGTGTGCTGCCTTTCCACTTATGCTCAAAGTAGCTGACAGCAATACACCACAAAATCAACAAGGACTATTTCACAATAATGATACAGCAGCATGTAACAACATCACAAGAAAACAACATTTCAGTACTGTGAATGTAGGCACCTCCTGGTGGAAGCAAAAGTAATGAGGGAGTCTGAGCAGTTTCACCTTAGTCCTAGCCGCTGCTGCTATGTCCTCAACAAATTAGCAAATAATAAAGTCCATCTGATCAAATCGCAAAGCCTCAGCTTCCCCAAAGGACCACTGCCCCTTTGGTGTCATTATTTGGGCAGCGTTAAGGCTTCCAAAGGCAAAGGGGTGAAGAAGCTGGAGACAAACCTCAGAAATGCCTGAAATTGGTCTGATCTCCTCCTTTCAGATCCTTTGCCTCCGGAGCATCTGAGCCTCAGTAATGGCGGTCACAGCACCAGGTCACTACGGGCTTCTTGGCAGAGTCCCTCTGGGGTCAGAGGCAATTATGCAGGGACTCTCTTGGAAACTAAATCCCAGCTGGTGGTGGAAAATGTAACAGCGGCGAAGGGTGGGACCAATGTCACCTTTGATGGGCTGATCCCAGGGCGTCAGTATACTCTGAAGATGATGGGAGTGGCTGGACCATATCCTTCCATCATTCAAACAGCCAGTGACTGGACATGTGAGTATGCCATTTTCTGGAGAAGTAGTTGAGGGTTGTTGCAGCAAGTTCTGTCCCTAGTTGATTTCCACTGAGTCTCCATATTTACCCACAAACAGGAGAGACAAGATGTATCCCATCTGAAGGAATAGTAGAGGCAGGAAGACAGGGAAGAGGCTGGTAGGGATATTATGAGGCCTAGTTTGGCCTTTGCTGACAGAGGAGTTTATCCTGATTCAGAATTGCAGTGTGTGAAATTTTCACCAGCGTTTCAGACTTTTGAATTCAGACCTTTGACCTTTCAGTTTCAAAACATTTTCAAACTTTTCTTTTAAAATCTTAAATCTTGTTGATGAATTTAACGCAAGAAACAAACTGGTGAAGTAAACAATTTTATACTTTTGCCGCCCAAAGCAACAATAACACTGGGCAACAATTTTTTACTTTTTGAATGTTGTCTAGATTTCTACAACTGATTTAGGGTATTTTTGCACTGCTGAATCAGGAAATGGCATCCGTTTCTCTCCATCAGGTCAGGTTTACTGTAAACTGAATGGTGGGCATTGATAAAGGTAAGTACATGTAAATTGCATGTTGTTGCACTATTTTTCAAACTTCAGGGCTTGAACTTCCGTTTTTTGGAACTCCTGGAATGCTCAGCGGCAGGGAGGTCTCTCTTCAGAGTCCAACAGTAGTCAGCCATCATGACTGCGTCCCAGCGACCCTGATACCTGGTCTCCATCTCTTTCATGTCCTGATGGAATCTCTCTCCCCTGCTCATCACTCATTGAACCCAGGTTCTCAGGAAACCGGTCCATATGTGAAAATAGGTAGTGCATCTTGACGCTCATGTTGCAGCCCAGGTTTCTGAAAGCAGTCAGCATGTTGTTGACAAGTTCTGCGTAGTTTCTGGCCTTATTGTTGCCAAGAAAGTTCTTCACTACCAGAACAAATGCCTTCCACGCTTCCAGTTCCACTTCGTTCATTGACTTTCCGAACTCTGGATCTCTGATGAGCTGACGGATCTGAGGACCGTCAAAGATGCCAGTTTTCAACTTCTCCATGGTCAATCCTGGAAAAGCCTGGCACAAGTAAGTGAAGCAGTCACCATCCTTGTCCAGAGCCTTGGTGAACTGCTTGATTAAGCCGAGCTTGATGTGCAGCAGTGAGAAGAGTATTCTGTCTCTGTCTACCAGAGGGTCGTTGATGACGTTCCTTTCTTTGCAAGGCATCAATTCCTCCCGCACAGGCCAGTCCTTCTTCGTGTAATGCTGAGCACGGTCCCTACTATCCCACATGCACAGAAAACATGGGTACTTGGTGAAGCCAGACTGTTGTCCCAACAAAAAAGTTCACCATCTTCAGGTCAACACAAATAAACCACTTATGCTGATCATAACCAATTTTCTCCAGCACATACTTCACCGCTTCATAGTTCTCCTTCAGTGTAGTCGAGTGAGCCAGGGGTATAGAGGCAAACTGGTTGCCGTTGTGTAGCAGAACACATTTCAGTGATCGCTTGCTGCTGTCAATGAACAGTCTCCAATCTTTGGGTTCGTACTGTGGCACTCCAAGCTTGAGCAGAAGCTGCGCAATATCTGCACAGTACACCAAGTCCTTCTCTTCCGAGAAAAAACGGAGGTACTCTTGATGCCTGTTGCGGAAGAAACTGATGCAAGTACTGTCAGAGAGGAGGATTTTTCCTTCAGTCTGGATGCCAACAGTTCGGCAGAGTCCTTTGACAAGCTGAGGTCACGAACTAGATCATTCAACTCCTTTTGGAAAATGGATGTGGAGCATCATCTTCAAGAACCACTTCTTCTTCTTCATGTCCTTCAACACTGGAGGCATCTTCGTCACTAATGTCAGGAAGTTCTCCGAAGATAGGCACTGGAATTTCATCACAATGAGCTACAGGACGACGTGCTGATTGAAGATCAGGATACTTCGTGGGGTGGCTGCCCCATTAACTTAGTTTTGATCCCCCAACTGTATGCTTTGCCGCACCAATTTATGGAAGATTTCGAGGTTTTATGACTTCAAACTGATCCCTTTTCGACATAATCACCCAGAACTATCGGACCTGAATACTTTTTGTCATTAAAATAATCATTTCCAATCAAAACAATTATTCGACATGGCATTTTACCTCCACCAACTTCTTCTAAAATGCTCCACACAAGCGTACATGTGAACAAAAATGTAAAAAAACGACATGTGGCCATAGCTCAAAAACTTGACCTGATTGAGCAAAACCAATGTGATTTTTGGATTCAGCGCATCAGATTTGTCCTAAATCAACTGAAAAAACACAGACAACAAATTTGTTGTTGACCAGTGTAATAAAAACACAAACCCAAGTTCCAAATCCAAAACTATGCATAACTGGTAAATGTTAAAAAAAAGAGAAAAGAAATGGAGCAAGGTTTCATTTGGTTTGTTAGGGGTTTTTTCCTTCTCCAAATTAGGAGAATTTGCATGTGTATCCCCTTCCAACCATTGCCAAGGTTTCTGATTTCCTCCTCACACCTGAGCAAAACATAAATGTTGTTTGGACCGTACAAGATGTATTACTAGTTCTTGGAGCCCAGCATCCTCACTCTCCCTGTATGAATCATATGGACTTTTCCTATCTGCATATATCTGACAGCCATGAGTATGAAGTGCCTTTAGGCTGCACATCCCATTTTCCCCCAGTGGATAAATATTATAAACCTGTGTATATGAAAAGGTAAATTCATAAGCATCTAGCCCCAAAGGGAAGTTACCCGTAACATAACCAATTGGGACCGTTTGTGGATTGAAGCCAGGGTGGGTGGGCAGAGCAGAGTGTCTGAAACTGGACTTGGAGGGTAGCAATCTCCTTACTAATATGAGTTTTTCAGGAGAAATTAAAGCTTGCTGGTATTTTGTTCCCACAACTGCACCCCAGGTTTTTAGGTCTCATGCACATGTTAAATAAATAACAAATAGCAGCCATTTTCCAACACCCAAGAACACCTGCCCTTGTGGAGAACATCTGCATTGGCTTCTGTATCTCACCTCTCTTTCCTCCCCATTTCCTCCCTGAATGTAATTAGATCTAATGGCTAATGAGTCATCTCAGGCTGTGTCTTTTAAGAGGGCAGGGGGAACGGAATTAGGCCCAGTGCTGAAATAAGAGTCTGCCAGTCCAATGGGACTCTGTAGAATTAGGGAAGGGGATGCGGTCTTGTTCTTTGCATCAGAAAGCAAAATGTCTTGGCCTGGCATTTCTGTATGGTGCTGACCAGCCACTGAGAAATCTATTTCTTTTCAGACCCTTTGCCTCCTTCAAGGGTGACACTGGCCAGTAGCAGATGGTCCCCCAGTCTTGTTGCCACTTGGGACCTGCCTCCAGGTGACAGAGACCAGCTCTTTTTGCGATTCTACAGCCAGGAGCATCCTCTGCAGAGGAACATCACAATTGGGCCAGGCATGCGGAATTTCACTTTTGAGGGCCTTCTTCCTGGCAGCCAATATTTCTTGGAGGTTATAGCACTGGCAGGAATATACCGGGCTTCAGCACAGGTGGTCTCTGCATGGACATGTGAGTATGCAAAAGAATTTCTGAACAGTGTGAGACCTCAAAATAGTGAGACTTTCTTAAGCTTCCATCATTTGTGCAATCTAACATCTCAGCCTCTTGTTAACCCCAAAAATAGCAGACGCTCCAAGTGTCCCTATTTTCCAGGGACGTCCCTGATTTAGAGAAGGTGCCTCATTTTCTGACTTGATCCGAGAATATCCCACTTTCCCTTAGGATGCCCCTATTTTCATTGAAGAAATATTGGACAGTATGGAGTTATCCAACCCCCAAGCTGTCTGAAGGCAATCCTGTATAGGGAAATTTTTTTGAAAAAGCATTTAATGTTTTTATATATGTTGGAAGCTGCCCAGAGTGCTGGGGCAACCCACTAAGATGTGTGGGGTATAAATAGTAAAATTATCATTATGGAATGGGACGTCCCTATTTCCATCAGAGAAATGTTGGAGGGTATGGAATAGGTCGAGTAACGTAGCATTGGAACAAAATTATTTGAGTGTTAATAACGCACTGCCGGTTAAACCACAGAATGTGTAAATCTAGGAATTTAGCAAGCAGGTGGCAAAAGCCTCTAGTGTTGGTGTGATGCAACCCAAGATGCCACAGTGATACATGTCACATTAAAGCTAACACAAAATGCCTCTGTGAAAGCAGCTATGTGCCTGCTTCCTTATGCCACCATGATGTCCCTCCCACACACCATTTTTGTTGCAACCACAGATCCTCTGTCTCTGGCTAACGTCAGTGTGAAAAGCAGCCAGAGCCCCCAGCAGCTGACTGTGAGCTGGATGGAATCAGGAAGAGGACGAGAGTACTGGGTGCAGCTCTACTCGGGTGAATCTCTCTCCATTATCCGGAATGTTTCAGTGCCACATGGAACTACCCAGGTGACCCTCGATAGCCTGGTGCCAGGGACTCAGTACCGGGTTGAGATTGTCTCCAGAGCTGGACCACACCACATTTCCTCACAAACAGCCATTGGCTACACAGGTACAATGTTGCCCCCTTCTGTCTTTTCTCCCAGACCAAACATTCTAGTTAAGTTCGCACTCAACACTAAGCCTAATGCGTTTGTTGACATTCATACACAGACTTTATGCTTACTGTGGTTTACAGTCTAAAATATTGACTTGCAATCTGAAATATCATAACGCAGAAGGGAACATGGGGAGGGGAGGGAAGCAAAGTGTTGTATCTATCTAAGACAGAATAGGTCCGCTTAAATCAATGGACGTAAGTTAGCCAATATTGATTTCGGTGGGTCTGACGTATTAGATACAACCCCCAACTTTTCCTTAGTATAACTTAATGACCTGGTGGAATGGCCACTGACTAAGGCAAATTGCAGTGGGAGGAGCAAATGGGCTTTGGCTCCAGCTAAGCCTCTTGCCTCGTTAGAGTCTTGTTGACTCTTGTTCTTATTTCATGATTACTTTTTACTCTGACATTTTGTGGTACTCGCTGATGACTCGGGTTCTTGCCTTGCCTGTGGGGTTGTTCAGAACTTACTTGTTGCTGTTTCTCTCCTGTATTTGTTGTATGGCTTGTGTGTCATATCTCAAAGGACTTAGAAACTTTAGAAAAGTTGCCAGGGGTTACACAACATAGAAATCAACAAGACGGCTGTCCCCTCAGGCATGGCTGTCTTCTCTGTCAACAGTTCTTTCCTGAAACCCTTTGTGGTTCTCCTTCTAGTGCCCTTGATGCCACTTGCCGTGACGGTGACCAGCCACGGCTCCTCAGTGTTGACAGTGCAGTGGAAGGCCCCAGCTGGACAGAGAGATAGCTACATGGTCTCCGTGTCTGAAGAGGACTCCACAGCTATCAGAAGCCACACGGCTGTCGAGAAAGCCAGCACTAACCTCACCATAGAAGGGCTAAGCCCAGGCATATGCTACCTCGTTGCAGTGTGGTCACTGGCTGGACCGTACAGCTCCACGTCTCGGAACAGCACAGCCTGCACAGGTGAGTCGGGTGGTCAATCCAGTGGGAAGAGAGGGTGTTACATCTCGGATGGAGGAAGATCTGTGAGAAATAATTGAGCCCATGCAGCTGATGATAGCGAACAGTGCTTTGGAGTTACATCTGAATGAATTCTGATGCAAAAGACTTGAGCAGGTTTGGATGGTGGTGCAGCTCTTCCCTGCAGCACGAGCTAGGCACTAGATCTGCAGTAACTGTCAGATATCTTCATACTCTGCTTTCGTGTAGCCGTTGCATAGACTGATCTTCTCTTTAGCACTGGGCTTGTGATTAGCAGAAGATGACTACTGCTCCAGCTGTATCACTGTGAAATATGTGGGGTGTTGCTGTGCCATGGGAATCAACGGCCCTTTGTGTCTGAATGTACCCTCTTCTTCTTTTTCCCCGGAAGCCCCTGCTGCTCCTGTGAACCTGACCCTGAGTAACGTTGGCAACTCTTCTGTGCTACACACAGCCTGGGGAGAGCCTCCAGGAGGAAGAGACCACTACCGGATGGTCCTGTATAGCCTAGTGCCTCCAGGCATGGAAAGAGTTCGGGTTGTGCAGCCAAGCACCCAGGACTTCCTCTGGACGGGTTTGCCATCAGGAAGCCAGTTTGCTGTGCAGGTCATCACAGTGAAAGGCCAAGCTGAGGCCCCTTCGACCATTGCTGTTGAGTGGACATGTGAGTCTGACAGGCTAAGTCCCACCCCAAGGTTGAGGAATGCACCTGTTACCATCTGACATGCAGCTTCCTTGTACAGTTCTAGGCCTAGAACCTCTTTCCTCTTCTTCAGTGGCCCATTTCATCTCTTCTCTCCTGGGTCTAGAGCCGAACTGAAATTTCTCAGAAGACCTTTCTTTCCCTGAGAAAATTTCTGAGATTTTTCTTGTTCTTGCCTCCCTAGAAAAAGACCACTTTTTGCAAATTTTTATTCAGATATGCTCCACCAATATATATGGATTGGATACTGACAAGGCTTCCAGCTCAGTTACTGCTATTGATATTTGCAGTAGCAGCAGCAAAAAGAAACAAAAACCTCTGAAGAAAAAGAGGCTATGCTACTCCCTCTGCAAATGGTGAGCCTCACATCTGAGAAAGTGTTGGAGAATTTCTACTTGGAGGAATTTGGTGGACTACACCCCAAAATTTCTTTGCACTTATAAGATGGATAATTTTGAAATACCATTTGCACTCGGCTCGGCTCATCCCTGACCCTTTCATTCACTCTGTTTAATTACCCACTGTCCTACCCCGTTACTGAATTCCACATGATAAAATGGAAGGATTTCCCCTCATGTTGAGGTATTACTAGCCTGGACCATCTTGCCTCATTAGAGGGAAGGAAATGTGAGAAGTTTGGGGAAGTGGAAAGGCTTGTTCTTCTCTAGATGTGTGGCTCACATGGGGGCAGATATGCAGGCAGTCACTGACTCACACAGGCCACAATCATACACACAGTATATAACACCTATCCTTTATGCAGACATCTTCCCAGCGTGTGACCAATTGCATGCACAGAGATTTCTCCAGAAGATCCAAAATGGCGGCAGGGATGAGACATAAAACTCTCTGATCTATGTTATATAGAAAGGTGGACTGAACCAGGTGCTTCAAAGTTTTTTGGCCCTTAAGTTGGTTTAAAAAATGCCTTGAGAAAGGTTGAGTTGGACTTGGACCAATCTTGAATTCTCTCTTTCAGCCTGAGCTATTATTGATAGTTTAGTCCTGCCTGCATGCTATGCCATGTAGATCCCATTGGATAATTATGATAGTTCCATATATTGCAGCTACAATAAGCAGCCTCTTCCTTCAGTCACTGCCCTTTATTTTCTCATGCAAGTTCTTACTATTTCACAGCTCCTCTACCTGCTACCTCTGTGCAAATCAGGAATGAAAGGCACCCACACCGGCTGAGTGTGGCTTGGACACCAGCCTCTGGTAGACTGGATGGCTACGAGTTGAACTTGTATCGCTCAGGATCTGGTACCACAGCAGCACAAACATCTCTGGGGACAGATGCCACCAATTTCACCTTCTCAGGTCTGACACCAGGAGCCAAATACTTCTTTGAGATCATCTCAAAGGCAGGACCCTATAGGACTTCAGCAGGGAATGTCAGTGACTGGACAAGTGAGTAGCACAGGCTGACATCTGCCATTTTAATCTGAATGTCAATTTCTCTGTGGGAGGGAAACAGTCAGCAAAACAACCTTTCAGTTCATTCCAAGCAGAGTGTTGCAGCCTGCTGTGAAAGAAAGCAGCACTGTGGCATTTATGAGACAAAACAATGAGGCTGTATGGCTGCTCTTATTGCCCAGGAAATAATCCTATCATTGCCTCTGCACCTCAGGATGAAGACATAGGAAACCAGAAATGGGATTAACTGGGTCCACCCATTTTATTCACTTGAACAACTCTGATCCGCAATTTCATTTAAAACAGCCCCACCTTCCCAGGGCAGGCCAGCATCAGATCAGTTCCTACACTAATTTTGCCCTTCACAGCCTGCACACTTCAATAGCATTCCCAAGAGGTCTGTTCAGCACTGGCAGCCTTGAGCCAGGACACAATGGAGTCAAAGAGGCCATCAGAGTCCAAGGGTTAGCAAAGTTTGCCAGGGCCCACTTCAAGGAGTTAGTTTGGATGAGTCTCTCTTCACCACTCTGAAGGGAGCCTGTGGGTGCTCACCTCAACCTTCCTCAACCTGATTCCCTCCAGATGTTTCAGCCTCAGCCAGCATGGTCGATGGAGTTGTAATCAAAAACATTGGAGGGACCAGGCTGGGGAAGGATGTTTTTTGTTTTCCTTCTTCCTGTAATCCTACACAAAGTCTCCCAGATATGACTTAGGAATCTGTTGACTTTTAATACAGCAAACCCATTAATACCCAACAGAGAAGAAGTGGAGGGGGACATTTTCATGGCTGATCCAGGGTGCTTTTCTCTTCTGGTATTGCCTTCTTCTTAGGTCCTCTGCCTCCTCACACGGTGCATCTGTCAAACAAAGGGCAGACTGACAAGCTGAGTGCTTCCTGGGGACGCAGCGCAGGAAACCAAGATGGCTATGTACTAACACTCTATTACGCTGGATCAGGCACTGTGGCATCCAAGACTTCTGTCATGAAGGATGCTACTAATTTCACCTTCGTTGGCCTGAATCCAGGAAGTAAATATTTGCTAGAAGTTGCTGCTGTGGCAGGGCCTTACCAGATAGCAGCAGAAAATGTCAGTGACTGGACATGTGAGTATCCTAATGCACTTCTGCGGGTTTGTTCACACTGGAGCAAAATGTGGATTTGAACCACGTTGACTCCCCATTAATATAGGGGTGTCCATATGATGACCTCCCCATCCCAGCATGGATCTTTCCACCTTTAAATGTGGGGTTTTCCCATCCTTGGAAACAGTCCAAAACAACCAAGACAAAAAGAAACCCCACATTTGAAGCGGGAAATGAAAACACCCATTGTCTAGCCTCTGGGTATGCATTTAAGCCTTTTATGCTGATTGCTGCCCCATAGAAAACAATCCAGGTATCAGGAATTTTAGTGTACTTTTGACTGGGGAGTAATGTGTCTAACTCAAAATAAAATAGGAATTCATTATTTTTCTGACTCAGGCCTTACTCCATACAAAAAAAGATGGCTTGTTCTGTGTCTGTAAACATTTTTTAAAATTACTCTGCTAATGCTAATGCAGATAAAGTCCTTCATTATTTTATCCATCCCACAGAGGGTGGGGCTGTGGTTTAGGGAGCATGGGTTACACCAGGCTGGTAAAATTAGCCAGTGTTCTGATACCCATTTTGCTAGATGGGGAGAGTTGGGAATCAGAGCCAGTGTATGACAAGAGAATCTTTCTCAGCCTTACCTAGGAATGGCAAGCATTGAACCTGGGAACGTCTGCATGCAAAGCAAATGATCTATCACTGCACAATTGCCCTTCCATTTTGCATTCATAAGGCTCCGTATTCAATTCCTAACATCTCAGTAGAGGTGCTAATCTCAGCAGAGAGCCTCTTCCAGTCCAGGACAATACCACAAGCACCACTGCTCTGACTACTGAATGTCAATGGTGGCTCCTCTAGACCAACTCTCTCCCTGTTTGTTCCCCCCAATCCCAAAGCAGACGGCTCTGTAGTTTTAGTGTCTAACTCACCCTCTCTTGCATTGTTTTTACACCACAGATCCTTGGGTTCCTCGGAAACTCTCCATAAAGGCAGAGAAGGGAAACCCAGCACTGTCTGTGTTCTGGACAAAGCCCCTCAGCAAGCCAGAGCGCTGCCAGCTGCAGCTGTGGCATCCAGGCAACAGCACCATGCTACAGCACCATGCCTTGACCCAGTGGCAGGTCCAACATGTTTTCCAGAGACTGGTCCCAGGGAGAAATTACTCCATATCCCTCAACTGCATCGCTGGACCATATACGAGCAGCTCTGAGACCGCAGTGATGCCAATAGGTAGGTATGCACTTGTCCTAGGACAAGAGAATGTGGCAAGAACTTGCAGGACTTTTATTTTCTTTTTATTGCATTGGCAGTGGCAAAGTCTTGAAGACTGTGTAAATGTGCCACCTTCTAATTTTCTCTGGATAAAGTCTCACTGGTATAGAAGGAGCCTCAGAGGCAATGCAATGCAACCAAACACATTTATATTATCCATTGGTGAGATTGCTCACTGCTTTCCCTTTAGTATAAAGGCTTTCGTCAACATACTCTTGGCTCTATCATTCCCTGAGGGGTTCTGGTGAATCTTTCATTCCTCCAGGAGAAAATCCAGAACTCTTTTCATCATAGGGCACTCTCATGCATCAAGCTTTGTGCTTGTCTGTCCCTTTTTAGTTACAGAAATCTTCACAATTTTGTTCCTTTTTTCATGGAGTTAACTTCACTCTTCTTATCAGTTAGGTAAATTTCCCCACTTGTTTTATGGGTTTGGTAGTGTCCTACTGCCTTTAGCCTTCAAAGTCTGTTGCTCTTGGTCATTTGTTAAATTTTGCTCTGCACCCGTCCCCTATATAGCAGTGGGGGAAGACAGAGCATGTGCATGCCTCACACCAGCTCTATAACAATTTGACAGATGTTTTAATATCATACAGAATGGGCTGAGAAATATGATGATAACAAAACAACAGCACCACTGATTTTTCATTTATAAAAGCCCCAATATTCAATCATTCCTCTTCTTTAAGTATCAGCAGCATTGTATGTTTCCTGTTGTTAGTGTCCTGAGGAACTCTCACCTATGTACTCCCCAGTGAAGACACAGAAGCAATTTGCTTCTATTCCCAAGAACAGTTGGGACCAAAAGAAGGAGATGTGAAAGGAGAACGAGAAACACTTACAAACCCCCCAAATATATATGTCTCCATGCAACAAACCTATAAATTATACTGCCCCATAGAATTTATGAATATCTTGCTTATCTGAGACAAACTGTTCAGGATCTAGGATTCCATCCTTCCCAACTAGGCCTCACCTTCTGTCCTAGGCCTGATCACCACAGCAACAACTGTGGGATGAAGAAGAACTACTCCCTTCTGTAACTCAAGGACCATATCCTAAGGTGGTATAGGAGAATCTGTTGCAACCATTAGGCACCCTACAATGCATCAGTGTGTTTTGATGTGCTGAGGGCAGTGCCCCCCAGAAAACACACCCACAGCCTCTACAGCCCACCCCATGCTATGCTGGATGTGTGCTCGTCACAGAGACAGCCAAGCTGTGCCTCCTCAAGTTTTTTGTGTTTTGTCTCTCCAGAGCCCACACAAGTGAAGGACCCACAGTGTCTGCCTGACAGCACAAGTATATTTCTGAACTGGACCATCCCTGAGGGTGATATCGAGTCTTACAAGCTGACAACGAAGTTTCCCCAAGGAAGCCAGCAGCAGCCTGTGCTTCCTTTGGCTGTTTCAAGGGCTGACGTCACTCTGACAGAACTTTCCTCAAACACGTCCTATCAAATCAGCGTTAGTGCTGTGGGCAGAAATGGCATCTCGGGCCCAGCCGTGACACTGCTCTGCAATACATCTGTGGAAGGTACGTGTCTTCCAGGCTCTCCGTTGCCACAGGTTGAAAGTGTCATAACTTGAGCAATGGCTTTGGATACAGAAGGTCGCAGGCAGTGGCAGCTGGTAGATCCTGGGTGCGGTAGGTCAACTAGGTGAGGCTTAAGAGGTTACACAGACAGGATAGGGGAGCAGTTAAGAGATGTGAAACACTGAACATTTGAAATATGTTATTTAAATTTTTTATTTATATGTACACCTGCTGGTGACACCCTAATACCTCTTCCTTTCTGGCTTTCCAAAGCAGTTCTTCCGCCTCCTGTGCGAATGGACACCCCCCAGTTTGATGCCAGTTCTAGAGTCATCATCTCCCCTGATATGTTCAGCGAGGAAAATGGCCTCATAGAGTATTATGGAGTTGTTGCCACCACTAATGAGTCTTGTAAGTATCTGCAACCACCATGGGCCATCCTTGTGAGGGGATTCATGATGCCCCCCATGATCATAACGTTGTAGTGCTTCTCTCTCTGTATCTGCAGTGTTGAGGCCCACCCAAGACATCATCTCCCGCACATGGTATGACCACTATTACGGGCAGGAAGACTCTTACTTGGCTCTGTTGGTGCCAAACCCATTTCGTTTCAATGACAGCACCAGTCCCAAGGCCTGGCCAGTGACAGTGGGTGCAGACGAATGCAGCCGCTCTCGAAAGACCTGCAATGGAAAGCTGAAAAAAGATTCACAGTACAGGTAAGAGCATAAGAAAGTGCCAAAACGGAACACTAAAGGCCTATCTGTTCCAGCACAAAGCCATGTTCCTTGGTTCACTTGGGAAGCTCACAAGCAGGCATGACGGAAGTGTTCCATCACCAGATCCACAAGGATCTGCTAATCAAAACTATACTGCAGCCTTCTCGCTACTCTTGACCATTGGCCATGCTGGCTGGGGTGGATGGGAGCTGTGGTCCAATAACATCTGGAGGACATTCTGTTGCAGAAGGCTGGTAGACTGTTTCTGCACATGGAGGTGTGAAATTAGGCAAGCTTAACTTGGAACAAGCTAAGCTCATTCTTAAGTCTTATGAATCATTGCATAGTTGTTTCAGCTCAGCTCTGAAAGTGCTATAGGAATAAAATTTACCACTCAGGAAAATGAATAGAATAGAATAGAATAGAGGCTGATGCAGCCTTGAGTCATCCTTTATGTCTCAGCGTAATGCACCTAGTGGAGTCATTGGAAAAATAAGGGGCAGGAAGAGAACCATTTACACTGCTGAACTATTTGGAGGAAAGGTGAGGTATAAATGTAATGAATAAATGAATAAAATTCTCCATTTTGATCTGTTATAGGTTCAGCATTGCTGCCTTCACCAGATATAGTCAACAGGCTCCTAAAGTGTCATTCACAGCATTCTCAGGTGAAACATGTCTCTTCATCTGGTTGCATTCTGGATTAATTAAGCCTCTAGTCTCTTAGCCAATCTCACTAGGTCCTTTTTGGCACTTCCTGTGTATCTTTCAAAATGATGAACAGTACAATCCTACACATGTCTATTCAGAAGTGTACAGGAGTGCAGCCTCCTTCACAATCGTATTAATATGTTAATCTTGATGCTTCCTAAACAGTGAAGTGGTGGGTGGCAGGAATTCCTGGTGAGTGCCATATGTGTGATAGATCTCCATGTAAGGGATATTCTCATGGCTGCCTAAACCTCTGGTAGAAAGGGAGGAGTCTCATATAAACTGTACCTTTCACTGTCTTTGTGTTCAGCGGCAGACACCTCAGCAGCCTCTGCTGCTTTATCTGCCCCAGTTGTGGCTGGGATCATTATGGGATTCCTCGTGACAGTCACAGCAATTGCGGGCTGGGTCTACTGGAAACATCTGAGAGCAAGGAGGTGAGGACAATTGCAGGGGTTGCTGCTTCAGAAGGAATGATACAATGCAGGATTTAATTATTTAGAGTTTGCCTGGAAATTAGCTGGCAAACCTTGAGTAAATCTAGGGTGCTTCCAGAAAAGTACATTCTTGCATTTTTTGGTCATCACTTTCCTGTTTTTTGTTGCATGTGGAATTCACTAATCCTGGCTTCCTCAACCTCAGCCCTCCAGATGTTTTGAGACTACAATTCCCATCATCCCTGACCACTGGTCCTGCTAGCTAGGGATCATGGGAGTTGTAGGCCAAAAACATCTGGAGGGCCGAGGTTGAGAAAGCCTGTGTGACTAATCCTTCCAAATCACAAAGGGTATTGCATTCCTTTCCTTTCATGGCTTTTGTTTTTGCTACCATGCCACCACTTCCCATCTACATCAATGAGCATGATGGGATATAGCTGGATTTGTCTTACCTCTCCCACCCATATTCCCTCCCACTGAAAATTGCTTTCTTTTTGAGCACAAAATGGCCCTAGATAGACTCTCTGAATGTTTCTAAAATACACACATTCACCCACAGGTGAGAAACTATGGGCAGGTTTCAGCTAACAATTCCCACTAGAAGAAGCACATGCAAAGACTTCCACCATCCTTGGCACCCCCCTATTGATGGGGGGGGCAGGGGAACCCCCAAGGCAGTGCACAAGGCAAGGAAAGGTGTGGGGATCATTCCATCTGGCAGTGACAGAATAATCAGCATCGTGTGACATTGAAAATACCCCCTGTACCCCAAGCATACTCATGTTTCCTCAACATATATAAGTTTGGGAACACATATAGTTCTCCCCTTAGGTGGAAGAGTCAGCAGTAAAGAAGATGCTTGTCTCCCTACTAGGAATTAACCACCTACATGTATGTGCCTTGCTTTCAGAATGAAAAAGGGTAACATCCCCCAAGAAATGGCCACATACAGCCCAAGGTGAGTGAAGCTTACTCTCGTGTCTCCCCTGCTCACTTAGTGTCATCTTCTGTCACAGCATAGGCAACAAGCCAGACTTTGGGGCAGGAGGAGTTGTGGGTCTGGCCATTCCAGTCTATCCTGGCAAGGAGGTGCTGTGGCACCAACTCTCCCTCTAAGGGCTCATCACATGGGATTTCAGCTTGCTCTAGGCTGAGTTGGTTTTACTTCTATGTTAGTCCCAGAAAATGAGGCACAACATTTAAATAAACAACTTCCTTCCCACCTCTTGTCCTCCAAGGGGATTCCTGTAGGGATGGGTAAATCTTCTACAAAAGTTTTGGTTTTTTTTTATGTAATATACCGTAATGCATTTGGGTATGCTATTTTCAGTAATATATGAATCTATATGCACAATTTCCCCTGGCATGTGCATTTTGTGTTAGAATTCCTGGCTGGACATGTTACTTGGCTGGAGAACTGCATTGCAGAATTCAGAGAAAGATGACTTTCCCCAAAGGATGGCTCTGTTTCAGTTCATATATTATTTCAGAGTGTGTATTAGGTAGATAAGCATTTCTCTCCCATGCTTAGATTCATGCCATACCTTGAAACTGAAGTTATGGTGAGTTCTCATTTCAAACAATGGGCTGATATCTTCCTTTGACTACTATAACAGTTTGCCATATGCCTGACGATACAACTTCTATTACAAAAGAATGTTTCGTGTTTGTAATTTGAGATTTATCGGAAAAGAACCTGAATTTTACCTAACTTGTTGTGTATGTACATTGAACCACTCTCTCGGTATCTTCATTCTGCCTAAAGGAGGACCCCTGCACAGCACTCCTCTCTCTTATATGCATCTTTATTTCTTGCAGAAATACCCACCGGCCAATCCCCATACAGAGCTTCAGGCAATATTATGAGACAAGGGCAGCAAATTCCAATCATGGCTTCTCTCAGGACTTTGAGGTAAATGCTCCCCTCTTCTTCAAATTTAATCCAGACTGACTGTGAGGCCACAGTCAGACAACATCATCATTGAATGCAGGCTGCAGAATTTTGCCAGTTTCATGCTTTTATTAGAGCTAAATTTCACTACCTATGAAATATCCATTGAAACCAAGGTAGGTGAGCATGAAATGTTTCTCCTCTCCTCCCAAATCAACATAATACTGAGTAGCGTGCAGTCTCCTCTTCTTGAGGAGCCAGTGTGGTGTGGTGGTTAAGAGCGGTAGTCTCGTAATCTGGGGAACCGGGTTCACGTCTCCGCTCCTCCACATGCAGCTGCTGGGTGACCTTGGGCCAGTCACACTTCTTTGAAGTCTCTCAGCCCCACTCACCTCACAGAGTGTTTGTTGTGGGGGAGGAAGGGAAAGGAGAATGTTAGCCGCTTTGAGACTCTTTAAAAAAGGGAGTGAAAGGCGGGATATCAAATCCAAACGCTGCTGCTGCTGCTGCTGCTGCTGCTGCTTCTTCTTCTTCTTCTTCTTCTTCTTCTTCTTCTTCTTCTTCTTCTTCTTCTTCTTCTTGTTACTTGGTGTCAGTAGGTGCTAGTTAACCTAGAAGGAGGAATATTTCTCTGCCAGCATGTGCTGACTGCTATAAATTCAGGCAGAAGAGAGGCTATGTTCATGGCGCCCCCAACCACCACTATACAGTGGTACCTTGGAAGTCGAATGGAATCCGTTCTGGAAGTCCGTTCGACTTCCAAAACGTTCGAAAACCAAGATGCAGCTTCTGATTGGCGGCAGGAAGCTCCTGCAGCCAGTTGGAAGCCACGGAAGCCCCGTCAGATGTTCGGGTTCCAAAGAACGTTTGCAAACTGGAACACTTACTCCAGGTTTGCGGTGTTTGGGATCCAAGGTACGTCTGTAGCTTCAAATATCAGTTTAAACAATGGTCAAACCAGAAGAGGCCAAGGTTTTAAAATAAATTCAGATAAAACCAAAATGTTGGTTAAAAACATGGATGATCAGTAAAAAAAATTGTTAGAAAAAATGTCTGGTTTGAAAATATGTAAAAAAAGTAAGATATTTGGGAATCTGGCTAAGAGCAAGAAATTGCAATTTATTTGAAAAAAAATTTATATTCAGTTGTGGAAAGAGGTTAAGAAAGAGTTGGCGATTTAGGAGAGAATGAAGCTCTCCCTCCTAGGTAGAATTTCAGCCACTAAAATGAATTTATTGCCCAGGATGCTGTTTTTATTCCAATAAATCCCAATTGTAAACAATTCAGGCTGCTTCAAAGAATGGAAAAACGATATTTCTAAATTTATTTGGCAGGTGGGAAAGCCAAATAAATTGGCTTTCTCTGACCTTGATACCAGACTTGAATGTGGTTTGTTTTAATGTTGATAATCTTTTGTAAGCTGCTTTGAGAGCCTCTCAGGCCATAAAGCCGGGAGATAAATATTCTAAACAAATAATAAATCCCCTTACTTCTCTATGAGATTGGCACCTGGCTCAAACTGACATAGGGGATCTTGCTGATAAACGTTTTCTCCTTCTGTCCCACAGGAGCTGAAGGAAGTAGGGAAAGAGCAGCCAAAAACGGAAGCTGAACTGCCTGCTAACATCTCCAAGAATCGATATCCTCATGTTCTACCATGTAAGTTCTGGACAGAATTACGTATAGCTAATTTTTCCCCTCTTCCTAGTTGGGTTATCTTGGCAAACTCCCTTCTCTGGTTGGCTTCATGCATTTTACAAATCTATCGGATGTTGCAGTTTTAGCCATTTCCTGTCCCATGAATTGTAACAGAGCTGAAAGACTGTTGGCTACACCTTCATGCAACTTTTAGCCCCTGCTCCCCTTCCTCATCCTTTTGCCCTTTCCCCTGCTTTACCCCACGCCCTGAACAAGTCTCTTCTGCGGTAAATCCCACTATGGTGTGTGTGCATGCATGCGTCTGCATGTGTGTGAGTGTGACCATGTGTGAGCTGTATGCCCGGTGAATGTGTGGTGGAGTGAATGTGTGTGTGATCTGTACATGTAAAGTGTGTGCACTGATTGATTGATTATTTAATTTCTGTACTGCTTAATGGTCGGCATCCATCTGTCTCAGGAGGAGTGTGGTCAAGCTGTTGGGATGGTTGTAACGCCTGCTGTGGCTGTGGAGACCGATGCGGGAGAGACATGTTTTGTTGCAGCTGGGGCAGATGAAGGAATCCAGTTGTGCTGCTGCAGATGCACCATCTCTGTACTTATCCCAGCCATCATTCCCCCTCTGGTCACTGCTGTGGATACACAACCTGACTGCCTGTCTCCAGGCACTGTGGTCGTCTGCAAGGGATTCCCACACAGGGGGATTAATGTTGCCAACCTTCGCGTCACGTCTGCACACAAAAAGCAGAGAATTGGCTAAACTCTTCCATAGAGCTGCCAAGTTGCAACCTGGAGAATCTGATTTCACCTTCTGTCCACCTTCTTCCTTTGCATGCTAAAAAGGGATATTACAGTCCTCTGCAAACAGAAAGATCAGAGGAGAGGAGCACTTACCTCAAAATCCTAAGAGAAGCCACGATTGGAATTTGCTGCCCTTGTCTCATAATATTTCCTGAAACTCTGTATGGGGATTGGCCGGTGGGTAAAGATGCACACCAGAGAAAGCAGTGAATTTATATTGGTTTATATGTATTAGCAACTTTGTGTTTAATGTAACATTTTTATATGTAATTGTGCAGATGATTACTCCCGAGTGAAGCTGAGCCTGCTGGATGAAGAACCACATTCTGACTACATCAATGCCAACTTTGTGCCAGTGAGTTCTTTGAATACTTCTGTAACCTTACTGACATCTCATAGGAAGGCGCAGGGTGTTAGGGCACCTGCAGCAAGATCTTCACATATGACTTCACACAGGAATGACCGCTCCCCGCATAAAACGGGGGGTGACCTTTGCGTGGACGCGCGCAGCCCCTGGATCTGGAGCGGCTCCATCAGCATAGGCTTGGCTTTGCCTTCCCTCAGGTGGGATACCTGGAGGTCTCCGCCTACCCCAGTCAGTTGTCCAATCCCACGGGGGAGGGGGGGAAGCGTTGCCAAGGAGACCAGGCCAGGTAGGGGAGGGATTGCCTGCCCACACAATAGAGGGAGGATCTTACCTGGGAATCCTCACTTGGCTCCAGAGCTAAATCTAAACCTAAATCTCAGGAGGCCTGGTTGACCATTAGAATACTCTGCAAAGTTGGGAAGAAGATTTGATTGATTGATTGATTGATTGATTGATTGATTGAATTTGTATCACTATAGCTTCAGTTAGGACACAGCAGGTATATCATGTGGAGCAAAGAGACTTTTCTAATAATTGTATTCTGTCACTCTATTGTTAGAGTCTTTGGTTTCTGTGGAATGATAGACAATCCAGTTTTTCTTTTCTTTTCAGTAAGTAGGAAGGTAATACGAAGATAGACAAGGATAAAAGGAAAACAAAAGATGGGGAAGATGGGTCAACTGAGCAAGGTGTCAGAATATCATAACTTCCACATGAGTGTAAACATGGTCTAAAAGCGGACTCAGGCATGGACACCATGTTTTCCTCGGTCCAAATTTACTTTAGTCCATCTCTAGGCAAAGGCAGGCATAAGAGCAGAAGAGAAGCCACAGATGTCTCTCAGCTGCAAGATGGGCCTGGCTTCATAAATTGACAAAGACGGATGAAAGCAAATTATATTATGTCACCATCAGTCTTCTCACCCACCCACAGCTTCAGGGGGGCTGTATACTTTTAAATTTTTTAAATCACCATAGGAACATTCACACATTTATATGCATCCTCTTTTAATTTCTTAATAAAACCTTACCAGTTCAAAACCACTCTGGTGATTGAAACTGGGTAGTATGTCCTAGTGACATTGCAGGGGTCAGCCAATCACCACCATGTGCGGCTAGCCTCTTCTTCAGACTTGCAGAGCTGTTTCCCCCCGAACATGTTTGGGTTTGGACTGAATGGAGCGAGGGCACTCCCTGAGCAGCCCCATTGCTCTAAAACTTTCACTTGTCTTTCCTCTTTCTCCTGCTATTTACAGCTGCATATTAAAGAGCTTGGATGTTTCCCTTATGCCTCTCTGGTGATTTATCCAGGTAATGGCTAGAAAGCGCATCTTTATGTGTGTGCATGCAGCACTTGTATTTGCACACCCAAATCTGCCTTGTGTGTACATGGTATGCGTGCATAACAGCACAGCAGTCATGTTTGCATGCTTGTGTAAGAACACTGTGCTTCATTTGCACGTTAACATCTAAAGTTAGAAAACAAGCCTCTTTAGCACAAGAGCATCTGTGTCTCCTTTGCAGGCTGCATTGGCTAAAAAGTGTGAGCCTGGCTGGCCGCTACTGGAAACACAATACTGGAGGAGATGATCTGTCTGATCCAGCAAGGCTCTTTTTGTATTTGTAAAAATGTGAGCAGCAGCAGGCAGTGGCAGATAAGGCAAAGGTGGCAGCCTCTCTTTTGCCAAACAAGGATCTGTGCAACTGCTCATTCCTGGCAGCCCCTCTTTTACAGAAAAATTGTTCACCGCGTATGGAGAAGGGATGCTAGATACAGAGGACCAGAGGGCTAAGGGACAAAGGAGATTGGAGGCTAAACATTTCACATTCCTTTTGGTTTGGTTTGGGGTTTTTTTTGCTGTCAATACAAAGCATTGCTGGGGGACAGTGCATGGAGATGAGGGTTGTTATTATTATATTTATTTCTACCTTGCCTTTTCCCCAGACAGGGACTCAAGGTGGCTCACAGATAAAATAAGGTAAAGGTAAAGGGACCCCTGACCATTAGGTCCAGTCGTGGACAACTCTGGGGTTGCGGCGCTCATCTCGCTTTATTGGCCAAGGGAGCCGGCGTACAGCTTCCGGATCATGTGGCCAGCATGACTAAGCCGCTTCTGGTGAACCAGAGCAGTGCATGGAAATGCCGTTTACCTTCCCACCAGAGCCGTACCTATTTATCTACTTGCACTTTGACATGCTTTTAAACTGCTAGGTTGGCAGGAGCAGGGACTGAGCAACGGGAGCTCACCCCGTCGCAGGGATTCGAACCGCCGACCTTCTGATCAGCAAGCCCTAGGCTCTGTGGTTTAACCCACAGCGCCACCCGCGTCTCTTTTACAGATAAAATAGGAACAGCTAAAAACATAGGGGAGAATTTTTTTTTTAAAAGCAATGAAACCCTAATAGAATATATTAGGAGTGTGCAGAGCAAGGAGCGAGCAAGTGTTGGCTGTGTGGCCATTTAGCGAGGGGGCCATGGATGTGGTGGCAAGGCCAGGCAGGGCTCTGGGGCAGGGAAGGATGGGGAGGATCCACAGAGTGTTTGTTGTGGGGGAGGAAGGGAAAGGAGAATGTTAGCCGCTTTGAGACTCCTTCAGGTAGTGATAAAGCGGGATATCAAATCCAAACTCTTCTTAAGCATGTAGGACTGTGCCTACTGCATACTGTGGCTTGGAGAATGACAATGTGAGATCACCTGAGGAAACCAGTGGGCCTTTCCCTCACTCTAGAAGAGCCCACAGACCACATTAATCCAAGATTTTTTAAGGGTTTCTTGAAAAGACCATCTTTGATCTCTATCGACTCCCTGTGTCCTGAGCTGAATGTTATGCATAGCATATGGAATGTAGAAGCATTTTGGATTTTGAGCCTTTTAAGGTGTGATGCTATCCTACAGATCCACTGACTGAGGGGTATTAGAAAATGTGGCTCTACCAGCAGAGATGGAGTGACCAGCATGGTATGGTAACTCTCAGTGACACAAGTGGAGTTTTCCACCAGCTTGTCTGTAGTCCTGGTGTATGACAGGGGTGAACATAGGATTGTGCGGCTCACCGTGTTTCTCCTCCATTATTAGAAGGGTTAAAAACTTGCTGTTTAAAAATAATGGGGGGAAAGTGCCGTAAGGAATGTGCAACAATATTATTGTAGGATGGAGAATTAAACCTCTATAACTTTGCTACAGCAGAAGGATGACTCAGAATGTACTCAGTTTGAATCCATACAGCTAAACATCAGTACCTCCATCTGTTAATAACTGGTTACATGAGAAGTTTATTTGGTTATGTTCATAAATAAGCATGCAAGATATAAATGAACGTCACAACCAGTGTTGTCCAAAACATTTGGAGCCGGCCAAGTTGGTGAAGGCTGCTGTGTAGCATAAATGCATTCCAAACAGATCTGAAACACTGTTAACTGCTTTGGATGACAACAACAACAAGTTTATTATTTATACCCTGCCCATGCTGGCTGAGGCTGATGGGAGTTGTAGTCCAAAACATCTGGAAGGGCCAAGTTGGAGAAGGCTGCAGTGAGGAAATAGCAAACATCTGCAAGACCATAACCACAACCATCCAAAACAAGTCAAGCTTAAAACTCATCCTATTGCTTTCAGTAGGACTTGTTCAGCACTGACAGTTGCTGGATTGTGCCCTAAGTTCTTTCAAGGTATAAACTAAACTTTGCTCTATTTAAAAAAACAAAAAACAAAAGAACCCACACCACAATATAGAATAATTAAACCGAATCAATACTTTACGCTTTCCTTGATTCAAGAAAAGCATTCTGCGATTGCTAATTCTGCTCATTCATTCTTTCAGGGTTACAACTCCCCGCAGGAGTTCATCGCCACACAGGGGCCCCTGAAAAAAACCCTGGATGATTTCTGGCGGCTCGTCTGGGAGCAGCACATCTGCACCATTGTTATGCTGACCGTGGGCATGGAGAATGGACGAGTAGGTCTGATGGAAGCCCCTACTGTAGGGGCGGGGTCCCCCTTTTTAACCCATAGGCCTCTTTCCCTTCTTGGCCAACTTCCAGGGACCACATGGCAGAGGTGGGCGGGGCTAGAAGCAGAAGTTGGTGGAGCAATCAATGTTAATTTACTCTTGCGCCCTTCCCTATCCTCCACCCCAACAAACAAGAAGCAGAAATGCATATTCTAGCCAAGTAGAAACACACAAAGCAGGGCCCATGGAAGAAGGGACTTGCCTGGGGAAAGATCTGGTGGGGGGGGGCAGATAGAGAGACATGGAGGGCCACATTCAGCCCCTGGCCTGAGGTTCCACATCCCTGCCCTACTGTATATGGTCCAGGGAACAAGAGTTTTGCAGCGTGGTAGCATCAGTTCTTTCAGTAGTGGGAGAGTCTTGATGGCCACATGGGACCAATACTTCTTTCCATCAGTATTGTCAGAGGCCTGTTGCTTTATATCTAGTGGAAGGGAATTCTGAGGGCCAAAAGTAGATATTATGTGAATATGTGTGTAACAAAAAAAATGTAAAGCAGACTTGGGACGCTTTGATCTTGAGTGAAGGATCAGTGCCTCACCAGACATTTCCCCACTCAAAATCATCCCCAGCAGTTTCTGCCCCCTTCCCTTGGAAGCAGAAAAACACGATAACAATTGAGATCTTGTGCATATAAGCTAAGAGTCCAGCATTTCTAATTGCCTGAGTTAACATCTTTTTGCGGGTGGTAGCTGATCAAAAATTTATAAACTTTTCTTAAATAATGAATGTTAAGAAAAAAGCAAATTAAAGGCTAGGCTACATGATTAAAATTAGAAGAACCTATTGACCAATGGGAATACACAGAAGTATAGGAATGATTTATTATTGCGTGCCAGCTGAAGAGAAAGTTAACAACTGCGGTATATTACTACCACAGGTTGACACATAATCATAGCCCAGTGTGCAGGAAATGTGGGACTGATGCTGGTTTTGCTTCATGGTAAAGATCTATGGGAGAGAGAAAATAATGAAAGCATTTTTATTGCTACTGCTGCTATTGCATCTTGCTGTGCCTCCAAAACAAGAGCCCAGGACAGCTAACGATGATCAAACCACTACTACAAGTCGCCAAATATAACTATAAAATATCCATAAAAACTGACCGATCAGCACAAAACAATCTGCAACTGGTATTAAAACAATCTAATTTAATCATTCATTTAAATAGTGACATAATAACAAGCTAAGATTTGTAACTCAATCCCATTCTTTTTTATTTATTTTTACTGTGCTGCTTACTCACACAAAAAGGCCAAAAAAGGGAGAACTCCTCCCATCTTGTGTGGTTACTTTTAACAAGCATACTGTACACAGGAGTGCAGATAGAGACTCCAAAACATGGTGGAAGTGGTTTTGACATTTCCTGCATTCGAAGTGGTTTGTTTTCAGGGAAGATAGTATGTGTTGTGCAGAGCACTGTAGAATCCACCAAGCACGTTGCACAAGGATAGCCAGGGGCAATATATAAGGAAACAAGGCTCCCATTTCCTTTGAAAATATTAATTGCAGTTCCATCTCCCTTGCTAGGTGCTGTGTGAATACTACTGGCCCTCAGACACGGCTCCTACCTCTTTTGGGCCGGTCAGCATCCACCTGCTCGCTCAGAATTTTGCAGATGAGTGGACTACACGGGAGTTCAAGATCCAGCATGTGAGTAGGAGACCAGAAATACCCCATGGCACCTCCCAATAATCTTGCCCAATCAAAAATGCAAATATAATATAAACTGCAGTGTCGTGGTGCTCCAGGGAATCCTAATGACTGGAAACAAGGCAAAACTCTTTTGCGGACAGTTGAGAAACTCTGGAATAAAGAGTGCATCCTTCATAAACTTGTGGACCAGCTTTCTTTGTTGTAGTACCCAAAATCAGCATAAGCATATCTCATGCAGTTTAATGGCAGGTGCTTCCTCTCTTGCAATTTCAGGTTTAGGACTTTGCCTGAGCTGCTTCTGTGGGCACTAATGTGGGCATCTCTTATCACACAGGAAGGGCTAAACATGGAAAGGAGAGTAACTCACTTGCACTACACAGCATGGCCTAATCATGGTGTTCCTGAGTCCACAGCTTCCATGATTGCCTTTATAGAGTTGGTGCGAGCACACATGCAGGGTGCAAAGGAATCTGGGCCTACGCTGGTACACTGCAGGTAAGTTTCAGGCAACGCACTTGGCTGGTTATTAATGTTGGGATTCCTTTCCACCCTTTGCTGCAGACATGGGATTGTTGCGTGTCACAGGTCTGTTTACATTCCAGCACAGACTGCTGGCGTGAGCGGAACTTCCGCTCTGTATTGCTTTTGTTTTTAGTCTCTCTCCGAGAAGATGGCAAGGAGAGATGCCATGTTTTCTTTGTCTTGACTTATGTACAATAAATGCGTAGTTTAGTATGTGTCTACAGCCTCAAGCCTCTTCTGTTGCGCAGTTTACACTGCTGAGTGTGCTCAAGTCTGCAAGCTTGAGTCACTGATGTACGTCGGAGCAGAGGTCGATGAATCCCCGCAGCTGCAAGGCTGAGGGGAGACACTCCAGCTGGGGCCGAGCCAGCTGGCCTTTCGGCCCCCATAGATTCCGACAATTACTACCAAAATCTGCAAAGGCAACGAAACATCAAGAAAAATGCTGCCATAAAATCATTCCGTTGGTAAACATCATTGCCTTGCCATGGTTGGCATGATCAGGTGTCCTCTTTGCCCAAATTCCTTGACTGCTGGGGTCACAAAAGGTAGGGAGCACAGAATGAGAAGGAATGAAGGCCTCCAAGATGAGCTGTGTGAAAGAGCCTCTTCTTTCCCTGTATTATTGCAGTGCAGGTGTGGGGCGCACTGGGACTTTCGTTGCTCTGGATCGGCTCCTGCAGCAGATGAAGTACGAGAAGGTGGTGGATGTGTTCAACACCATTTACAGCCTGCGAATGAACCGCCACCGGATGATTCAGACACTGGTGAGAAACTCTGAGCTGCCTCTCAGGTCGCTGGTTGCCCTGACATGGGAATCATTCAATGACACAAGATGGCCTTACCCTTTCTGCTGGGTATTTGTGGCCAGTGCGGAGGGATGGAGAAGATGCCAGAGACACAATGGGCAACAGAAACTAGAAGGAACAGCAGTGAGGGGCCTGGGGGAGGGCCCAAGACATGGAAGGAGCAGCCAACCTCTTGGAGTCCATAAGCACATTGGCAAACTAGAGAAGCTGTCATGCATGCAGACACACACACAAACACACTGCAACCAAGAGCACATGGCAAACTGTTCTAGTGGCTACAAGAGAATGCTTCTTTCAAGCCTAATTTCAGTGAAAGGGTGGGATCCTTTGGGCATCTTCTATGGGCATGTGGAGAAGCAAATGAACAAAATGTGCAGCTACTGAAAAATAAGCATAGGATGAGATACAAGCATTGGCTGTCAACTGGTTTGCAAGCAGCTTCTTTTTTATTTTATTTATAGAGGCTGTAGAAAGAACAGTTCTTTGGCAAGTCAGTGCCAGTTCAGGAATAGAGGCCTGAAGCTCCCAGCTGCACATTATAATGATTAGACCTGGTTGCCTTTCTATTTCAAGGTGCACTGCAGTGCTTTCAGGGTCTCCGTGTACATAAAATATGTGCTCTTCTCTTCCAGGGGCAGTACATTTTCCTGCACAACTGCATCCTAGAGAAGATCTCTGAAGACCCACAGATTGGCCTGTCTGGAGTGGAGCTGTAAGTTTATACCTAATTTCCCCTTCCATTCCAGTGGAATGCATAGTTCTCTCCTGTAAGCCACCCCTCCCCCTGCTTAACATAGCTATTGTGCCCAGAAATGAGGCTACTCCTTCTTTCCCACCCATATGTGCAAACAGGCTATTACATTGCTGGATCAGAGCTAGCACAAGTACAATGCAAAGGGGGAAAACCGGTTGGTTGGTTGGTTGGTTGGTTGGTTGGTTGGTTGGTTTCCCCATTCATCATCTGGAAAGGTCTATAGGGATCAGCAACCAGGGCACCACACTCATTGCAAATAGGCATGGCCTGCCTCAAATAGCAGCAGAGGCTTCTTGTTCAGTAGGAGTTGCAAGAAGTCTCCTGGGACCACAGTGTCTTGTTCTCTTTTCAAGGCAGCTGTGCCATCAGCTCATGTTAGAGGGATATGGAATGGGGAAGCTGAATAATTAAACCCATCTCTCATGTTTTCTCAAGCTCCCATCCAGTCCCTCTCAAGAACTTTGTTCAGCACCACGCAAAGAACAGTTCCAAGGCCAACACTGGCTTCCTAAGGGAGTATGAGGTAAGAGGTTGGCACACAGGGATGCTGGGTTTTAAGGGTGCTCCAACTCCACATGCCATGTGGGTGGCCAGATTGGGCTGCATCAGAGATGCACGACTATCACCATGAGGGCAGCTCAGGCTCAAGCTGTGAAAATATACATCCAGCTGCATGTAGCATGTTGTTAACTCTTCGGAATGAATGTTTTGAAGACCTCTGCATTAGCAGCTGTATCAATGATTAAAGTACTCACCATTGACTCTGGGGTCAGTGATCCTGCATGCTCAATCATAGTGAAAAGTCCACCCCAACCCATTTCTCCATCTCTCTCTCTCTCTCTCTCTCTCTCTCTCTCTCTTTCTCTCTCTTTCTTCTACTTTGCTTCTCCCCATCAGCAGATGCTCCTGGAGGCTGCCAAAGAGGAAGTCAATTCAGCAGTACCACTTTCTAGCAGTGGCAACCAACAGATCAACCTTCCCTCAAGCAAGAACTCTTGTGAGTAAATGGTTTTGTGGTTAGTATTGTTGCTGAGCATGAATTACGGGTGGGGCATAAGGCGCTGAGCTGAAATTCTGCAGCGCAGGACTGCGCTGTGCCTGACGCACTGTGTCACCCAACCCTCCACCTTCTCACAAAGGCTGTTTTGCAGATGATCGCTCAAAAGTGAAGTTCTCGCAGCTGGATCGAGATCCCTTCTCAGACCTCACAAATGTCTGGCTCATCCCTGTGAGTCCACCATGAATTTCATTTCCCTCCTTTCGGGTCCTCTGTTGTTGCCTCCAGATGTCTTTGCTGCATGCTGCACTCCTATAGAAGGGATCAGTTGCTTGTGTCACTGCTTTGAGGTTTTTTTTTCTTTAGCAATCAAGAGGTGTATATACTTTTTAATGAAGTGTTATGAAATAAATGTACAGTGGACGCTCGGGTTGTGAGCGTGATCTGTGTGGGATGCATGTTCGCAACCCGCAGCGTTCGCAACCCGCGTCTGTGCGTTTGTGCATGCGCGGGTTGCGATTCAGCGCTTCCGCACATGCACAAAGTGTGACTTAGCGCTTCTGTGCATGCGCGATTGCCGAAACCCGGAAGTAACCCGTTCTGGTACTTCCAGGTTTCAGCGGTCCGTAACCTGAAAGAAACGCAACCTGAAGCATCTGTAACCTGAGGTATGACTGTATGTGCTTTTCCTTGCTTTGGTGAGAGAGAAAAGGCTAGGTCATAGCAAGTACAACTCAACTGCTGCCAAGCTGTGAGAAGGTAACAAGTGGATTCTGCGATCCTGGCTGTTCCTTGGCTCAGTATTTTATAACATAGACAATAAGAGTGTGGCAAACAAAGCACTCACATCTCTGAATGACTAAAAGCAGGGCATTATTGAAGACACTACAGTGGTACCTTGGGTTACAAACGCTTCAGGTTACAGACTCCGCTAACCTAGAAATATTACCTCGGGTTAAGAACTTTGCTTCAGGATGAGAACAGAAAAACGTGCTCCGGCGGCCCGGCGGCAGCAGGAGGCCCCATTAGCTAAAGTGGTGCTTCAGGTTAAGAACAGTTTCAGGTTAAGAACGGACCTCCAGAACGAATTAAGTACTTAACCCGAGGTACCACTGTATTAGAAATCAAAATAATATTGATAAACTGGAGAGTCGGGACAAAATGTACAAGTGTAAAAGGAATGCCACTTCAAGGGAAATAAGCCTGAGTGTGCAAAAACTACTCAAGAAATAGTGAGTTCTTAGAATCATAGAGTTGGAAGGAACCATGAGGGTCATGTAGTCCAACCTCCTGCACTGCAGGAATATTTTTGCCTGTGGGGCTCGAATCCATGACCCTGAGATTAAGAGTCTCATGTACTACCGACTGATCTATTGCAACCCCTGAAATTAATACAAGACCTGCTAAAGTGCCACTGTGCAAAACTGGCAAACACTTTTTGAGGTTCCATTGGCAAAAGTATATTCAGAGACAAAGGAGGGCCAAGTACACGATGACTGGTTACAAATAATTGTTAAGTAATTACGGTAAAAGCAAATAGTGCATTGTGGGAACTTGGTGACTAGCCTGCGAGTGGTGGGTATAGGAGATAGTACAGTGGAAGAGGATGGAGAGCTGACTTCCAGATGAGGGATACAGCAAGTAAATTTCAAATGTAATACCTTGTTTGGGAATCTATATAGCAGCAAGTACCTGGGCCAGCCTTCTTTAACCTGGTGCTCTCCAGATTTGTTGGACTACAACTTCCGTCAGCCCCAGCCAGCAAGGCCAAATGTAAGAACACCAGGCTGGAGCTGGCTGACCTCAACAATCTATTAAGGTAGTTTAGTTCACAAAATTTCTTGATTATCAAGACCAAGAAATCTAGTCTAAGACAAGTACAGTGGTACCTCGGGTTACATACGCTTCAGGTTACAGACTCCGCTAACCCAGAAATAGTACCTTGGGTTAAGAACGTTGCTTCAGGATGAGAACAGAAACCATGCTCTGGCAGCGCAGCGGCAGCGGGAGGCCCCATTAGCTAAAGTGGTACCTCAGGTTAAGAACAGTTTCAGGTTAAGAATGGACCTCCGGAACGAATTAAGTACTTAACCCGAGGTACCACTGTACTTAAAGAAAGAAAATATGCTTTCATTTCACCCTCTGATCTGTCACTAAAGTTGCCAGCAACTCCTGGTGCCTCATCTCCAACTAACTTCCCATGGGAGAATAAGCCAGTTACAGATACCATAACCTGCAGCTTACTCCTGTAGCTAGGGTAATCCTTATCCAAGCTTAAAGGTAAAGGTAAAGGTACCCCTGCCCGTACGGGCCAGTCGTGACCGACTCTGGGGTTGCGCGCCCATCTCGCTTAAGAGGCCGGGGGCCAGCGCTGTCTGGAGACACTTCCGGGTCACGTGGCCAGAGTGACAAAGCTGCTCTGGCGAGCCTGCACCAGCGCAGCACACGGAAACGCCGTTTACCTTCCCGCCGGAGTGGTACCTATTTATCTACTTGCACTTAAGAGTGCTTTCGAACTGCTAGGTGGGCAGGAGCTGGGACCGAACGACGGGAGCTCACCCCGCCGCGGGGATTCGAACCACCGACCATATGATCGGCAAGTCCTAGGCGCTGAGGTTTTACCCACAGCGCCACCCGCGTCCCTTATCCAAGCTTAGACCAGGCTTATCTTCTGCCGCTGGCACTTTGCTAACTCTGCTAAATGAGACTCTGCTTTTCTTTTTCTTTTGGCAGGGCTGTAACTCGGCCAAGGACTATATAGCTATTGAAGGACCTGACAAACTGGCCCTGGAGGAATTCTGGGGGCTGGTCTGGGATCATGGAGTCCACACCATCATCACTCTACTACCTGGACAGACGAACAGCCCTGTAAGATCCACATTATGCATTATGCAGACCCACAGATTTATAGAGGCAGGTCCTTCTGGGATAGCTGCAATCACTGGGGCCATAGCACAGAGCTATGGGACAGGTTCAGTTTGGGCGCCTGGAACTGAGAGCTGTGCCGTTTAGAATCCTGGCTGCGTAAGAACTGCTTTTCCACAAGTGGTTCCCATGTAACTGAAGGCTATATCTGAATGGTGGCATCATGTGGTCAGGGCAAATGGAACTGCAACTACAACCCCTATTTTTTATGTGTGTGTGTGTAGGCTCCAGACAACTCGTGCTGGCCCTCTGAAGGTGAACCTGTGTGCACAGAGACGTTGACCATACAGCAAGGCCCAGAGAAGGTTATTTCAGGATGGCCATGCACTCAGCTGAGACTGAAATATGTACGTGAGTTGGAAATAGTGGGGGGAAGCCATGGGGCCGTGGGCAAGGGCAAGAGGAACAATGAAAGCAATATCATTGGACATGTGTGTTTTGCGGGGGAAACTCCTTGTCACCATAGCTAAGCTTTTGAGCTACACAGAATTCTTCATTTGTGCATTGGCCTGCCCTCTACACCGCATTCCCAAACAGTTGCTAGATCAATTATCATAATGTCTTTGTTACTTTTTCAGGAGAAAAAGGCCAAGGAGAGGCTGCTGCAACGGTTCCGGTTCCCTTTGGGGGAAGGAGAGGAATTTCCAGACCCTGAGATCCTGGTGGGCTTCCTCACCACTGTCAGGCAACTGGTGCCATATCGGAAAAGAACAAATCCCTTGGTCCTGCATTGCAAGTAAGGCCCTGCCTCTCCAGGTACCCTTGGGCTCTTGCCCAGTAGGCAGCCCTTTTTAGCAGGTAGCCGTTTTCCTGCTGCATATGGCACCAGTGAGGGCGTATGCCAATCCTAAGATGTAGGCATTCCCATCTCACTGAGCTGATACCCATCAGTAAAAGGTCTACTATCCAACCCCCTGCTGGTTCTATCTAGTGGCATCCAGTATGTGGAACTCCCTGCCTCATGACTTCAGTTTTTGTGACCAAGACGTGCCTATCCATCCAGCTCTTTGGGTGATGCTGATGTTTTGGTAGGATCATCTGTGTTGTGATTGTCATTTGCTGTGTTGACGTGAGGAATTATAAGCTCCTGGTTTTAACTAATGTCCAGTGGTTAATGGTTTTATGGATGGTATTTTTTATTGTATTGTGAACTGTCCTGTGCTGAAGGCTGCACTAGTTTATTTTTTAAAAAAAAATATTTTTTTTACTAGTTTATTTTTTAAAAAATTGTTTGATTTTTTTTCTTTCACAGTTCTGGCGGCGTAGGCCCGATCGGGGTGCTGATTGCCCTGGATACTCTGCTGCAGCAGCTGAAAGGAGAGAAGAGTGTGGATGTATATGGTGTTGTTCTGAGGCTGGTGAGGAGCTGCTGCCTCATGACTCCAACACTGGTAGGTAAAGGGCAGAAAGGGAAGCTTGAGCAGCAATGGTAGCCAAGAGCTGTGTCAAGGCCAAAGGACACTATGCTGTTCCATGTTCTGTTCTCCTGCAGCACCCCTGTGCTTTCTGTCTCCCTAAAGCTAGTCAAGGAGGACATGGGATCCCTGATGGACTTTCCCTTTACTGTACTGGGGTACACTTTTTGCATGGCCATCCAATATTGTGGTTCAAAGTGGGGAAGTAGGTAATTCCAGTCATGACTCCGTCTGATCTTATTTAGCAAGCCCCTTGGATGGGTCTCTACAGCTCAGTGGCCTCTCCCCCTCTCCAGCCACCATCTGTGTCATATTCATGAAGAGCTGGGAAATATTGGGCAACTTTCACACAACAGATATTTTTGGACCTGCTTTCTTTCACCAAAGCCAGAGGGATGTCAACAAGGTTTTCAGTTCAGGCTTTTCCATATCATCAACCAAAGCATTTTCCATCCCTTGTGGGATACTCCCACATACTCTGACTCTGTGGGCTATTTATTTCATCTGCATGTAATAGAAACTGGGGGGTAGGGATCGTTTTTTGCTGCTGTTCATCTTTTGAAAAATTCAAAGAGGCTAGATGTAGTCTTGATGCTATGCAGGAAAGGGAGAGTTCATAATCTCCAAAGACTTTGGGGGATGGATTCAAGTAAATAGTTGTACTAGAGGATGACAGTGTAATGAGTTTTGCTGGCCCAATTGAGCTTCCTCCTCCTCCCTCTGTAAAGGTAAAGGGACCCCTGACCATTAGGCAAACCATTTGAAGCGCTGGGAAAATGCAGTCTCAGCAGCAGTATCTTCTGCAGGGAATATGTCCTGCCTCTAGGGCAGATGTCCAGCCTCTATACAGTAAATGAGGGACAAATGCACATTTACTGCATAAAAATGTTTGTGTATGTCTGGTACATATGCCCAAGACTGCAGTATTAGGCTGCTTCCACATCAGCTGATCTTTGTGGAAGTTGTGCCACTAGAGGGCATTGTGCTCAAGCCCTTCTAAGTGAAATCCTGTGTATTGCAGGACTTATCACAGACCGAAAGCTGCAGCACAGGTGTACCATACAACTTAAATTGCATACACACATACACACCAAGTTAAAGCTCCCTGACATTGCCAGAGGAGAAGAATGTGGCCCTCCCTAGTGACCAAGCTGCAGAGATGCTCACATATGCAGCCTGCATGCTTCCTGTAGCCATAGAGCAGCTATAAGGGGTTCCACAGTGTGCTTTTGTGCCCCTGCTGCTGCATTAGCAGTTTGATCTAGCTGAACATGCTTGCCTAGTTCACTGTAAATTCCTGGACCTAATTCCTGGCCTGTTGTGATGGCAATCCTTGGCTGTGTTTTCCCTTTTCACCTTGGAGTATTATTACAGATTCTTTGATTGTCCATGGGAGATGATGAGAGCAGAGCTCCTAATCTCTCTATCCCGCCCCCCTCTGCTTCTCTCTCTCTAGGATAAGTACATTTATCTGTACGAATGCATTCGTGACATCATCACCCAGAAGCAAGTTTAAGTTGCTGCTCTTTGTTAGATGGGTGGAATACACCGAGCACAACAGTGTTGTAGGCATAGCCAGGATGGAAGTGATCCTATGTGGAGATGAGCAGCTGCATCTTAGCAAGAGCAGAGTGGTGAAATAAGAAGAGCCAAGAACAGTGAGCTGATTACAAGGAACTTAAATCTGCTGTCAGAAAAGTACGGGTATCCATGTATCCCCTCGGTTAGGATGGATTTGGAGGGGAGGGGTTGGGGAGAAGCTTTCCTGAGACTACCTGGCTTGGTTTCAGCATTTTGGGATTCTGAAGAACCTCAAGGTTCCCATACACTGACAGAGTTCGTAGGGACCACAATAATGGAATCAAGAGGTCTTATCAAGTATGACAACCTTTTGGATAACTTGTGCCATTCTAGATGTTTCGTGCCAGAAAGAGATACAGCAGGAGATGATGTAGAAAAAGGTGATGGGCAGGGCAGACCAATGGTCCAGCTTCTCTGCTACCACATGCCTGATACTTCTTGTTTTTGACCCTTGTGCCAGTGGACTTGCACAGCTGGGTCTGTGTAATCAATTTGTCAGACTGACACAGTCCCCAGTGCAACATGTCTGGGTGATTCCCTTGCACAAGCAGACCTGGGCAGTCTCCTATTCTCATCCAGCTCGCATGGCGTCAAGAACAGGACAGCACTGACTAAGTTGCAGTATCTTCTTCACAAAAGCACCTCTGAAATAAGCATGGATCATCTTGCACACAGGGAAGGAAAGTTTAAACCGTCGGCAGTTTATGAAACCTTATATGATGCAGCAAGAGTGAGTAAAAAGAGGCTAAGCATGTTTACACAGAACGAAAGAATGGTGGTATCCAGTCTAATGAAACTAATGGAAAGCTAGTTCAAGGATATCTCAAAGACTTCTTTGCACAATGTAAAAATAACCTATGGAATTCAATGCCAAGGGAGTTGTCTATTTGTATAAGTGCTTATGTGGCTGCAATCCTATATCAGATACCAGGAGTAAGTCCCACTGAACTCAGTAGAGCTTATTTCTGAGTAGAGGGTTGCACTGTTAATGGATTAGACTAATTAATGCAGGATGAGGATATCCAGATGAAAGGATAGAGTAGGGACAGCTAATGTAGTGGCCCTCTAAATTTTGTGGACTACGGCTCCCATGAGCTCCAGCCAGCATGGCCAGTGGGAAGAGATCACAGCAACTGTAGTCCAGCAACATTTGCAGGGCACCATGTTGGCTACCTCCAATATACAGAGAGGGTTAGACGCAATGCAGAAGGTGGATACAATCATTTTACCCTATTTGTGCATTTCTTTAGCACAAAACGCTGGCTCCTGCTTTTTGGGAGATTTCTAAAAGAAGAAGTTTTAAGACCACTCTTAGTTTGATTCAGCATGTTTTCATAACAGTCCATATACATGTATTCCACATGGTAAGCCCATCAAGAACCGTCTCTCAGAAAGCAGACAAGACTTATCATCATTATCCCCCAACACCCTCTGATTCTGTTCTGTTCCACTTCCTGCCTTGGCTCTTGACACTGCTAGGCCCCCTCTTGAGAGCTGGGCTTGTTCTCTCCAAAACTCTGGTTCCTCTAGTGTTGCAATTCTTTCCCTGGGAAAGGGGGGTATTGGGAATATCTGCCATTGCACTCAATGGGGCTTAACTTGTGATTGAACATGCTTAGGATTAAATTGCAGGACATTCTTTGGTAAATTTTATTCCCCTCCTCAGTTTGAGTCTCATCATGCCCAATTCTTTCTACTTTAAACTGGCTCACTCTCAACTCTGTTTTTAGAATGGACACTTGAGGAGTATGCTGAAAGAAATATGCTGTTGTAAATGAAAACAACTTTCCCCAGTTTCTCTGAAACAGAGAAAAAATGGGGGGAGGGGGTTTGTAATAATAAATTATTCATTTTTAAAAAATGAAATTTAACACTTTCCTGGTTTTATTTATTTATCCAAGTATTTACAAACCACAAACACATAAAATTTATATCATGGTGACATACCATCCGATCATTAAAACTTCATAATATTGAAAGTGCAAATATGACCAACAACACAATCCAGTTCTCTAAAAATGTTTGACCAGCAGATGAAGAAATGTCAACATTGTAAGAGCCTCTCGGAATTCAGACAGTACTCCAAAGTAGGGGAGCCACTGTGGTGAGAGCCTTTGTTTGTGTAAAGGAAAAGGGACCCCTGACCGTTAGGTCCAGTCGGGAACGACTCTGGGATTGAGGAGCTCATCTCGCTTTATTGGCCAAGGGAGCCGACCTACAGCTTCTGGGTCATGTAGACCCCTCTTAAGCCATGGTTGGTTATCTTGCTGTCAGGGTACCTCAGTCATCAAGAGGGACTGGTGTTCCGCTAGAGGACAGCGCTGCCATCTACAGTACACACACAGGACGGAGATTCCAAAGGACAGGTAGGTAAAAGAAGAGAAAGGGATTGCTGAGGGCTTTGGAACCAACAAATTTATACAACTGAAAGATGTAGAATATTTCACTTGTTGGGAAACATGGCTTGAATGGATCCAGGCAGAATCAGCACATGGTGAAGAAGTGGTAAGACAAAGGATGCTAATTGTTATTCTATACAGCACAGATTTCTATACAGTACAGGCTTCCCGAACCTGGGGCCCTCCAGGTGGTGTTAAACCATGGGTAGGCAAACTAAGGCCCAATCGCCTTCTAAATCCAGCCCATAGATGGTCTGGGAATCAGCATGTTTTTACATGAATAGAATCATAGAATCATAGAGTTGGAAGAGACCACAAGGGCCATCGAGTCCAACCCCCAATAGAATGTGTCCTTTTATTTAAAATGCATCTCTGGGTTATTTGTGGGGCATAGGAATTCGTTCTTTTTCTTTTTCCAAAATATAGTCCGGTCTCCCACAAGGTCTGAGGGACAGTGGACCAGCCCCCTGCTGAAAAAGTTTGCTGACCCCTGTGTTAAACTCCTACCACCCTGGACCATTGGCCATGTTGGCTAGAGAGGATCAGATTTGCAGTCTAACAACATCTGCAGGCCATCAGGTTTGAGAAGGCTGCTATAGCGCTGTCTATGGAGGCTTTCCATAGAGCAGTGTTGAGAGCCCTGTTCCGAGGGACATTCAATCCAAAAATGAATGCAAGGAAACAATGGACAGAAATGGAGGTAGAACTATAAACAGGGGAAGAATATTCCAGTTACACAACATACTTTGGATTAGTTACAGCAGCCTTCGCTGTGCTGCCTGGGACTTATGGGAGTTGTAGTCCAATAATGTGCAGCGGGCAACATTGGTCGGTGAAGGCTGTGTTATGTTATAGGGGAGAGGGCTTTAGTCACAAGGCTTCCTGGCAAAATGAGTTTTGAGGAGGAATTTGAAGGAAGTAATGGAGGTGGCTGCACAGAGGCATGCTGGGTAGCAGTTCCAGGTTTAAGGGTGAGTAAGGGAGAAAGGGCAGTTTCCTTTCAGGGAATAAAAGCTAATTGGTGAGTAGCAGTGCCCTCTGAGCAAATCTCAGTGCACTATAGTTTGTTTCTATCAACCAATCCTGAACAGCCAAACCACAATAACCATCCTTAAAGTAAAGGAAACAGCCTGACGTCTGATCAACTCTCGAAGTGATTCATTTATATACTGGTTTTTCAGTATATGCTTAAAGCAACAAAAATAAATAAAAACATGATAAGAACATAGCAGAACAAGTTTACCAAAACAGCCAGTCAATTAAAAACCCATTTCTTTACGTTGTTTTATTTTGTTTATTCACTTGTTTGTTCTGGAACATAAATAATTTTTTTAAAATACAGCTAACCTTATTTCTGTTTGGTTTTAGACAGGCAGTACTTCTCCAAGAGCCAACATTTTAAATAAGTTTTAGGAGTATGGTAACTACTAGACTAAACAAGGGGAAATATTTCAGCTACAGCCACTTCAAATGTAAAAGCTCAGCACTGTCTTCAAAATCATTTGTGGGGAAATAAGCTTGATTGTTCACAAGGGAGTGTGGCTACGCTTGCAGGCTGGAGTTCAGACACAGAACAAATTAATCCAGCTATAGAGGACCAGATGAGGAAAGCTGGATTATTTTCAAACAATGGCAAGAAAAACTAATGGTTCATATGGCATTGTGTGAAGAAGAATTCAAAACACTTGGCACAGACAGCAATACTGACATCACTCCTGTTGTTGTTGTTGTTGTTATTGTTGTTGTTGGCGGCATCCGACTGTGTTGGGAGACAATGGAGGAGTGTGCCTTTGGGGGTGAAGTCAAACTATTGGAAGGTTACAATGCCTGCTGTGGCTGTAGCACTGCTCACATCACTTCCTAACTCATAGTATTGTTACTCTCTCCAATATCTCCCCAACTGCACAATGTATTCCCAGATTTTGAGTGGAATATCCCAATTAAGTTGAATATGCAGGTCTACACACATTGGATTTTGCACATGTATATCCTATTAAAGCATTATACCCATGCATGGATGTCTGGTGGTCTTGGAGATGGAACAGGGAGTAATAATAATAATAATAATAATAATAATAATGTTTTTATTTATACCCCGTCCATCTGGCTGGGTTTCCCCAGCCACTTTGGGCAGTTTACAGCACATTTAGAAACATAATAAAAACATCAAGTGGGGAGGAAATATGTGATCTCTCTCTCACACACCCTTGACCCTGTGTAGGGATGAGATTTGAATCTTTCAATCCAGCCCAATGTGCACCTCCTGCCTCTGCAACTACCATGGAATAGGCTTGCTTGACCTAATGACATTATGCAGGTGTAGCTATTACTCCCACTTCCTTCTCTGCAGTCATTCCTGCCTTTCCTTCTAGCTTAAACATTTACCAAGGTCAATAAAACCTGTGCATCTTTATTGTTTTAAATGGTGGGAATTATTTGCTCACACACAACTGAACAACAAATAGGGCAATTGATTGTTTGGGACGATGACGTACTCACTGGGATGCATAGCAATCTGTATGTGAGAAAATGCACAACTCCCATTGGAAATAAATGAATGAAAGCAGAGAGGGTGAACAAAGGTATGCTGTGCATAAATTACTATTACAGAGGACAATGGTGCTCTAATTTGTTCATAATTACAAGCAGTGAGGCAAGGAAAGTGTCAGGCACACTCTAGGACAAAAAGGAACAACCTGCTCCTCCATCCTGTTAGCATGGAGATGATGAAGAAGATAACGACAACAGCAGTAGCAGTGAGCTGTCTGTTCTAACCGAACAATGGCAGCAGGGAACCTGGAACAACAGACAACAGGCACGCAAAAGCACCAACAATAGCACAAGCGACTAACAGTGACAAGTTATGTATTATGCTTTCAAATCTCTAAGGGTGTCCCATCAAATGTGCGGACATCAGCACAGCCGCCATGACTAAGAGATGATTTCAGCAACATATAAAGGACCTTCACCTCTGAGGGATATCGGGCCACAGTGTTGGCAGCCACAGTCCAGCCGTCTATTTTTCTAGATAACCAACCTCCTGTTTTTAGTTCAGCCTCTCGGTGCCATCAGTCACATGCCAGTGGTGATGCTGGGTTATACATAACCTTCCCCAAAGCAACGCACAAGTTCCCAAACACCAGCCTGGAGTCTTGTGAATGACGGAAGCTGAATGTCCATTTCAGCTGTTGGCATTGTTTGTGGGGCCAATCAGCCAATCAGAAACTGCGCCTTGGTTTTCGAATGTTTTGGAAGTCAAACGGATTGAGTTCGAAAACCAAGGTACCATTGTTGTCCTGCATTCATTCTACTCATCAGAGACAAGAAATAGGTTGTCAGTCTTACTCAGGCCTTGGTTGCTCCTGCACCTGATCACTTACTTTATGCACCTGGAGCTGTTTGTTGTACCACCAGCATCATTATGTGGCACACCTGGGCTTCGCTTGTGTCATACTTTAAGCTGGTTGCTTGGCATAAAGTGTGACGACCATACAAGTTGATGGTCCTCCCTATTAACATGGATTTGAACATGATATCCCCTCCCTTCCCAATCCTGTGTTTTTAGGATCCACCCATTTAAAGTGAGGAGAAGCCTGACCCAATCCCTAATGGTTGTGATGAAAGCAGAAAATAGAGATTCTGTGGCTAATGCTCAAGTATCATCTCATTCTTACAGCCGAAAGCAGGTGAAGCTGGGTCAACCCTTTCCTTGGGAAGCCACCTTGCAATTTATCCCAGGGAGGGAGGAAACTCAACTCTGAGGGCACAGGCCAGATGCTATGGAAGCTACACATCTGTCAAGAACGCAAGTCATACTTCCTCCCTCCCCCCTCCCCACGCACCTCTTAGCTTCTGGGGATGCTTTACAGACAAAGCAGGTGGGCGGAAGGCTCACTGCTCAAAGTGAGTCTTAGATTTCTGGCTTTGTTGGGTTTTGTTCCTGGAGAATGGCCTTAAGAAAAGGAGGCCCTGAAATGGAGATCAAAGCTAGGGAGATTGCTCTAAGCAAGGAACAAAGGCCCCAGATAGTGTCTGGCTCCCGAGAGCATCACAATTAAAGAGAAGGAAAGAAAAGAAGCAATTGGGAGTCTACAATGGGAAATGCATAAGCAACCTGAGCTGGGGGGTGTCGCCAGGAAATGGGAGACAGAGTTACAGCCCACAGGAGCAGGCCAGAGCTCAACCACTCTCTTTCTCTCTCCCCTCACCTGCAGCACCAGTCCTGCCTTTGCACGGCAATCATGGTGGCAGGTAGCATCATTACTGGCCCTCTTCTCATGCTCTACCAGCAGCCCAACATGCAGACATGCAGGACTTCTTTTTCTTCCAGCCACGGAGATAAAGTTTTTGGGAAAGCTTCGCTTGCTTAACTGATGTGCACTGAACAGTTGTTAAAAGGACAGGAAGAGGATCAGTAATAAAACTGGGAACTTTCATTTGTAAATGTGGTGAATGA